GTGGACGGACGAGAAGGTTGTAGTAGGGAGGTCATCGATGACTAGTAACGATAGGGGTGGCTCAAAGATGTCTCGCTATAACACTCCTGTTCTCGTACTTCCCCGGGCCGATCGAATTCTGTTTACTTCGATACAGAATTCTGTCTTCTAGGTATGCTGTAAACTGTGGCATGAGTGGTCCAGTGGCACCCACTTTTGCAAGTTTAGCTAGCATGGTGCAGTGTGGGACGCTATCGGAAGCTTTGGTCAAGTTCAGAAATATAACTTGGGCTGGTCGCTTGTTGTCCTGTCTACTGGTTTAGCCACCCCAAGCAGTCATCAAGTTTGTGGCACATGATCGTCTGGTTCTTAAGTTGTGTTGGGTCGAATGAACGGTGTTGTTTCCGTTTAGGTAATCCCAAACAACATCCTCAACCAGGCTTTCCAGCAACTTGGATAGTATGGGGAGCACCGCTATTGATCTGTAGTTGCACGGGTTCTTACATTCTTATTCCCTGTAGATTTTTAAAAGTCTAGCACGCTTCAATTCTTTAGGGAGTTGACTTGCTTCCAAAGAGTGTGTGAGCAAGTTGCAAATGGGAATGTCTAGCACCTCTGCACAACTACTCAGGACCACTGGTCTCATGTCACCCTAACCTTCAAGTTTCCCTATTATTAGTGTTGAAAGTTTCTCAAACGCAGCTTGTCGAAATCTTTACGTTCATCTGCTTTGTGTCGCAGTCCTGGAACTTTCTTACCTTACTGGATGATGATGGTAGTGGGTGCTTCACTGGGTTGAGTAGCTTGTCAGATCGGCTGCTAAGCACTTCTGCCATCATATTATTGTTCAAAGGTTCCTCAGACGGTCCGGTGATCAGGTTTGGGCCTTTGTCCACTGGTTTCTGTTTTTGGCATTAACCGAAATGGGCTTTTGTGATTAAAGCTTATCTGCTTGGCCAGGTTACTCTCATACATGCAACTGTCATTACGAACACTCACACAAAATAAGTTGCGTGGTCTCTTGTGGCGAAGAAAGTCTGATTCCTTGTGTGATGTGTGCCACCGATGCGATGCCTCCTTCTTCCTCGGCATTCGCCTTTGAGTCTCACGAGCCACCCAGGGCAGTTTGAGAGGTAGTGGTGTGGTTAATCTCGCAAGACCCACTCCGATCGTGCTCTAGGTAATATCTTAAATATGTATTTAGTGTCCGTCTATCAGTTCTTGTGGCCATGCGGCCTTCAAGAAGTTATTGTTCATGAGATGGCAGTCTGCCTTTCGGTAACAACAGAACGCTTCCGGCTCAACTGTCGGTAGTTCCTCCTCTGTTACGATGGGAAGGCTCACCAGAGCGTGATCGTTTTCGCTTAAAGGTGAGTTGGACGCATACACCGCCCAACAAGTGATCACTGCCTGATAGAACGTAGTCAGGTGGCCATCCGTTCCATCTGGTCTCCATCTTATGTTTTCCCCAACTTTCTTTATTAATCCTGCCGCCGAAAATCTGTTTCCCCTTCTATGTCCGTAAGGTTTATGTCCAAATATCACCTTACATCCCGAATTGAGTGCCCTAGCGTTGGAGTTTCCTGCGAGGGCAACGCGGCAGCAGGTTGCAGAGGTGCATGTTGAAATCGTGGGGAGCAGTTGCAACTTATACTCTGCTGTCCATAGAGTAGGCCTATATATCACTCCTAATATGTGCTTAGTTTGGTTCATGTTGAAATAGCGCGATAAGGAGTATGATAACTGGCTAAATATATCATCGGTCGCCTGCTTGACTTTTAGGCAGGTACCGGTGTCCATGGCCACCCCTCCGCCTTCCTTGAACTGGCTGTCTTTTCGGAACAAGGTTATGTTTGGCAAAGATTTCTTCATCAATGATCTCTGATGAGGGACATATCTCCCTAGTGAAAGTCACACCTAATTCAGATTAAAACATGTTGCTCTCAGCCCCAGTATTTTACTTCCGAAACCATAGAAGCATTTCAGGAAGCCTCGTTCTGGGCTCCGTGTGATACGGAAACTTTCTTGGGGTGTTGGAGTGGCGTTGCTTTGGATTCTTACTGGCAATCACAAATGGACTAACAGATCTCCGTTTTCGGTCCTTCCTAGCATCCTGGTGTTGATGTGGAGTCAGCATTCATCATTGGTTCCACAGGCGTCAATTCACCAGATGGTTCTCTTGTAACTAGCACTGTCCGTATGGTTTTTGGAGGTCGTCTTTATCTTCCAGCCCAACAGATCTCAGTTTACTTTTGCAGCACCGTATAGTGTCTCCCATTTGATCTTTTGCACGGTGCCATGCCGTAAACGCTACTTTGAGTGATGCTTTGGGATCAGAGAGTACAGTCAGCAACCTTGGTGGGGAGATGCTCTGGAGTCCCATGGGGGTAATGATCTTATTTCGTGGATCCATCCGCCAGTTCGTGTGTTCCATCCACCATGGTTGCGGCTCTTCGCAGATCACCAGGTGATGGCTTTCTCTCCGCCTTACTGGTAGCCCATGCTTTTAGTCTCCCCTTCCCTGTTTTCACTTGCACCAGTGTTCTCGACAACCCGTTTCTTCAGGTTGTCGAGTTCCATTGAATCATCCGGTCTGCATCGACACAAACGAACACTTTCCTGGTACCTCTTCTGGAGCGGGAACTTGTGTTTCCCTATGTCCAAGTGTGACATCCTCCTGCGCTTGTGGAGCCTCCTCGGTTCCTATCGGCGGACATTGGAAGCTCAGGCTTTGTAATATCTTGAGCTGTACCAGGTTTCTCAGTTTGCTGGTGGTGGTCGCAATGAAATTTCCGACATTCTATACACATGCTACATTAACTTACATGCTTGCTTCCTCCAGAAGCCACAGTACTGACCTGGTATACAGCTAGCACAGTTGCAGAGCACCCACTTTGGACAAACTTCGCACGTAACGGCTTCGTGAGCCTCTGATACTAATTCATTGCGAATAGCTCAGTCGTCAGAGGTTTACGCGCCGTTGACGACTGAATGGTTCGCTTTCTGTGAGTTGAGATCAGGCGTAGTGAGTGCGGTATACTCGGTCATCGACACATAAGTGTTCCCCGTCTTACTTTTTATCAACGGGATGCTTGAACATGTATCACTATCATTGTGCCTACATGAGTTTCTAAGTTCTAGCAAATGCTGTGTATGTTGTGACGGTGATATCGGGATACTGGGTGGTGTTGGCATTGTCAAGCTTGTGTTTTCTGCATGGACTAGTTTCTGTTTGTTCGCCAACCTATCCATAGGATTTACGGCTTTTGATTTGGTTGTTTGCACCAATATAGTTGAGTGGTGCAAATGTGTGAATAATATAAGGGACAAGGAGAAGAAAACGTTACGTAAATAGCTTGCCAACAGGAACTTGATGCTCGGCTTTTCTCACTTCAGCCTCAACTTTAACCGAATACCCCAAGTGCGCTTATAAAGACGAGGAAAGATATTTCTCGGTGAATGATCCCAGAGAGAGCCCGAGGCCGTAGCATTTGGACGATCCGGGCGACTATACATCACCAAAAGGAAGTATTTCCGAGTTGAGAAAGTAGTTACGTCGTTGTAAGTAGCCATTCTCACAACCAGTTGATTTACCGAATAGCGTTCACTGTTAGAATATGGTTGACAGCTGTTTTTTGATAATAACCACCGCAATATTGCCCCTTGAATGGAGATGAACAAGTCACGACGTTATTCAAACCACGCACGTGGTTGTGCATTATGGCACTGTCGGTCGGAAACCAGGGGTCTCACGGGAACCAGACTTGTATGCTAGTCACAGAAATAAGACAGGAGTTAAAACAAACAAACAACACTCCTTATGAATCTAACCAACACCCAACCGCCCGTTGGGCCTACCAAAGCTACAGCAGCCGAGTGGGTAGACCTACTGCATTGGAATCCACCAAAGACCTGGAATTATTCCTCAAGACCTAAAAGCGAGCGCGAAGAGATCAGTTGGTTTACACCAGCTCGTTAAAAGATATCGGATATTGGACACTGCAACCCTATTCTACCGGAGTGTGTGAGATATGGAAGGCTGAGCCGAAGGAGGCAGCCATAGCCAAAAGAATTGCGCAAGCGCAGTCGGCTTACCACAAAACTTCACCCGCAGTGATTGAAATTTTGTTCATCCATTCCTGTGTTAGCCAATCGTAGTATCTGTAACGTGATCCATGCGCAATTACAGCTGGTGCTTATTTTCCATAAATACTTCTAACTCCCCTTTTCTCATTCTGTGCTCGCCCTACTTGTAGCGCATAATTATAGTGACGCCCGGTGTTTACTAAAAGATGTTTGCAACAGCATGAACTGCAAGCAATTCGCTGGGTTCGTCAGTAGCTACGCTGCTCCATTATTCAAGCCAGCCTGCAAATCGTGGAGGAAAACTTTCTAGTTGGCAATCATGACCAGTCACGTAGAGACCCATGGTCCACCCACATATAGTTGGAATACGAACTAAGCAGAAGATATCTGTCGCTATCATGCCATTCCAACTGTTTTACCTCTACAACCAGTTTGCGCCTGGCGTGAGTTGGCCCTACCTACCTAAGTTCTTCATAACTTTGCACCCCTTTTCGCCTAAATCAGGTGTAAGTAGATTACTCCATTAGTCCACTTTTATTTGCCAACCAATAATTAACCTCCTGTTCTGTATACCAGAGCTGTAGCAGAAGATTGGCTGGATCTACTGCATTAGAATCGGCAAGACCAAGAAGCGAGCAAGAAGAAGTCAACTGGTTTACATAAGCTCGTTAAACAGATACTGAATATTGGATCATTGCCATCAAGTATTGCAATACTTTGAAACCTATGTGCAGTCAACTTCAAAAGACTTTTGAAGCCAAATAATGAGTAAGTCGAAAAAATGACTGAGCCCCAGGACATAGAAGAGAGACCTCAGTAAGTATGACTTTCATCTACTCACACTTTTTATGTTGATTGTTGTTGGATGTTGTATCTCAAGGTCGAAGAGAAAGCGGCTGAAAAAAAGTTTGGCGTTATTTCATTTTTGCATCCAAATGAGTTGTCTTAATAAGTCTCCTTCTACAGTTAGCTCTCCTGATCTCTTTAGCTTAGTGGGCTCATGTATATCTGAAGAAGATAGGATTGATTCCGATATTGAGGCAGATATACTTCAAGCCAGTGTTGGTACGGTATCTTAGTTCCCGACTTTTACCAATTCAGATGATATCACTGTCAGAACATGTTCCCCTGCTTCCTTGCAATCTGTGCAGTCATCAAGACCATCCAATACTTCATCAGTGTTTATTCGTAAAGCTGTCCTATCTTCTGTTTCTAGTCAGCTGAAGAATGCATCATTGAAGGGCAGTGTGGGTTACCCTTCCTGTATAGTGAGTTCCACTTCATTTTGCATCTTAACCGGTTTTTGCATATGAAAGTTGACATGAAGTTATCCTGTGTCAGTGATCTGTGATCGGTATTTTCAAGCTTATCTAATATTTCAGTAAGTTGTGCTAGTAATTTAGGTAAATTGCTTAACTATAGTTGATAATTGTTCAGTGTGTTTAGTATTCAAGATTTACTTGATATGTCTTGGTAAGCGATGTTTTGTGAGGCAAATACTGGTTCCTTCTCTAGGTTTTTTGCCAACTAATTAAGTTGTGTAAGGTATAGTTTGCTTCATTGTTTTATCAGTTGCGAACTTTTGCAATGAAGTGTCAGTAGATTTTTGCAACTGGATGCCTCTACAGTTGTTACTTGGAGAAATTCACAGTGTGCCTTTTATCAGGAAATCAACGGAAACTTTCATGTGTAAAAATGAGATGTGCCTTTCAAGTCATGGGTGTGAAGAAACACGATTATTTTGTCAGTCACCTCGCTTGTAGTCCTCAGGAAGTTAATTAACAGAGGTATTGTCTTCTTACTTTGTTTCCGCATAAGGTGATCAATGTATGCGCATAAGTATTCTAAAAGGTATTCAAGCTGTAGAATCAAATTCAACCCCAACTATTTTGCACCCTCTGATTTAGGTTTTTTCTCGGTTAATTCCAGGCAAATAATTGTGGATTTACTCGATGCACTGTGGTGGCTTTTCATGGGTAGAATATGTAGTCATTTTTTGTAAGTCGCACTTTTACATTAGTGGATTCACTGCAATACATTTCACTAGTGATTTCTTATTCACTTAATCCATTCTCGTCACTTTAATAGCGACTTTTGAAGTTTGTGATAGTGGTCAACTATAAAGAAAGAATCTATAGCGTCTCTCTTTATGGTTGGTACTCACTTTAAAACAACGAAAATCCTCGCTTATTTTAGTTTAGGATAACTATGATGTGAATGTGTTGAGAAAGGCTAGCCAAAGCAATCAGTACTTTTGCGTCAAGTTTATGACAGATACAGGTGTGATTCAGTCCTCTTAGTCGTGGTAGGTGTGATTCAAGCTGATCATATTTAATATTCTGCTAACCATTGTCAAAGTTAGCCTAGATTTTCAAGTTAAATCCGTCAGTTAATGCAGGTCAGGGAAATTTTTGAAAAAACAATGGATTTTCCATTTTAAAAGTAGTTTAGCCATATTTTTGCAGGCGGATCATGATTTACTGTACTTACAGAAGTATAGTCGTTTGAAAAACTAAAGGGGATATTTATTCACTGTCGCTCATATCTTGCGAAATTTAACGTTTCTTAAGATGCATTATACAATCACAAGATTTATTACCAGTATAGATGAACCAAGCTGTTTAAGAATCTTGTTGCAGAACACTATTACAAACACTACAGGATTTTTATATCGTGTATGGTGTTTGTTATCTATATATCATTTTGTAAACTTCATTTATATACCATTTGTTGTGATTAAATGCAGTGGTAGAAATCCGTCGTACATTTTCGTTATTTGGACAGAAGGAATTGGTTAAGCACCATGAACTATTAAGTTGGTGATCAAAGGTGTTGCTCTCTGACTCACGCGATTGACTTTCAAGGTAAAAATCAACATAAAACTTCACACATGTGCATCAGTTCAAGTTACCACACTTTAATATACAAGAAATAAGATACGAAAGACATATCAAAGTAAACAAAAATGTATCGGAAGGGAGGGAATCTGAAAAGTAAGGTTAGTCAAAAAAATTCAAGCTTTAGATGTCAGAGTGAGTACATTGTACCATTGTGACCGATTTTCACCAAGAGACCTCTACTGATTGCTGTCGTCTCGTGGACCCCAACGAGGCAGTCTACACCTCCCAGCAACAGTCAAGAACTTCTCGGGTTGGTGTCACGTCTGAGTTTGGACACTGTAACTCTCTTCCGACCTAATTCAACTTCCGTCAGCATTGGACATCGAGGTAGACGGTGACTCAGCATGCACAGTACATGTTCAAGCCACCTCAGTCAAATAAGGTTCAGAACCTTATGAATTCACTTACCTGTCTTGCCTAGTGCCCTTTCCTCAACATTGCTCACAGTGATTCCAGTAAACGCGAGCAATGCTACGAATGTACTTGTAATCAAAAGCGTGTAACCTTTTCATATCTGCTTTCAGCGGCTATGTTTCGGCCGTACAACAGAACGGACTGCAGCGCAGTATATTTGTCCTTTGGTAGATAGTTGAATATCTCCCCAGTGACCGCCACAAATGACAAGTTGAGAAATGCCAAACAGGTCTTCTGTATTCAAACAGATTTCGTCAGCAACCAATCCGTTTGGGCTGATGCAAGTGAAGTGTTCGATGCATCCCACCATTTCACTCCCTATCACTAAACTGGGAGTACATGCAGCAGACCATTCCTGGAGCATCATTTTACAATAGACAGGTTCACGAAACCCTGCATTTTGTCAGCGTCTTCACCTAGCAGGACAATGTCGTCTGCATACTCCAAGTCAACCAAATGACTTCTAGAGAGTAGATCAATCCCTGTGAAGTCAGACGTATCTAAGGTTACGTCCACTAGCACATCAATAACAAATTTAAATAAGAACGGTGGCAGTGGACATGCCTGGCGGACACCACTAGTTGTCTTCAATTCACATGGCAACTTTCCATGAACCCTGACACGGCTACATGAGCTCGAGCTTTGATTAGCGGTACATACTTGCCCGGTACTCCTCCCACAGTCAAACACTGCCACACCACCTCTCAATCGACAGAGTCAATTGCCGACATCGCGTTGAGAAACGTGGCAAATATTGGCCACCATTAGGCATGCCTGTGTTCCGGAACCTGTCGGAGGGTCAAAATCTGTTCGGTGCACCCTTGCCCACGTCCGAAACCTGCCTGATTTTCTAGGGTTTGTTGCGGTCATAATCGAGTCAGGCGTGAAATAACTGTGGGTCCTAGGAGCTTGGATACGATATTAATCAAACTGATTCCCCTATAGTTTAGACAGCATTGGAGAAAATGCTGACTTTTTAAAAGTCAAGTGTATCTTGTTATCACCTTTCCACATATTCTAATTTCATCTGGAGATGACTTCCAGCTTAGGTTTCGTAGTTTTATCTTTGGCTCTCGTCAGTTACATGCAGTCTGATGTAAGGTTTTTAAGACGTAGTCAAGGATTTTGGTTATTCCATTCATTGATAAGTTAGCAGTAGCACTTCAGGAAGAATTACCAATATAATAAGCTTTCATCGATTATGGTTTCCATTTATTTTCAGACGTACGGTTCCTATTAGCTTAAAACATTTTCTGTTATCTTTTGAGGCTATATCAAACAGTAATAATCGTAGTTTACTTATGCTTCATTCATAATTTTGTAAAGCCTATTCATTATGTCTAATTGTAAGAACTCTAATGCCTAACAATGTTTCTTGTTCATATTTGTACCTTTTTAGTCTTTTCGTAAGTATGTGGCGATTGGAACTAGCAAAGGTGTTGTATTTATTTTCAGTGAGTTATTTATATTGGATTCACATCCGTGTGTTTTTATCTCAATTACTTGCTGTTTTTACTCGTGAAGGGATCCTTTTTCTTTACTCATATCAGATATTATCTTTGTGCACGTCAGAAAGCTTTCGACACCGGCTCCTTTATTCAAGATATTTTTGAGTCTATTAAGTTATATTCTTGATAAAGAAAATGGGGTAAAATCAAGTTTTAGAAATGTTTTTAGACTGCGTGGGATTTTGAGGATAATCACCATCAAACACATTCTTTTCAAGGTAAGCTAAAGTGGATTACCATAATGAAATGAAAGATTGAAACTTTACTTGCTCATATCCGCATCATAGTCTTACGACATACACTAAACGTTCTGCCGTCAAAATGAATTCTCATTAGCTAAGAATGTACACCTTAATTTCAGTTTTTTATCCTTTAGGAATACAAATGATTCTTGTCTCATTGTTGTGAAGTTATAATCGGTTGTACAAGTAAGGTACATGTAGTTGCTTGTAATTTAAGCTGAGTTTAAAATAAGTGTTATTCAACTGCTGACACCTATGATGAATTTTGATGCTGTCGTGTTCTCTTAGCTGAATGATTTGATCGTGAAATTTTCATTGTTATTCTAGACAACTTCATCAGCACAAACTTCTTTGTGATTTTGTTTAGAATGACAATGAAAGCTTCACGATTAAAACCATCCAGCTCAAGGAACACAACCACCAAAATCATACTCCTGAGCTAAAAATTTTCCCCATCAGCTGCGATTTATGCTGTATTTGTTTTTTTTCTGAGCATCACGTTTACTTATCAATTTTACTGCTGCATAAAATATTCATTGTAATTTTATCTCTTAACTTTTTCATGTCGCACAGATTTACATCAAGTTTTGAAGCTCTGTTTTGGTAACATAAGTCCGACAAATACTCCTGAAGCGAAAGTTGGTGAAGGCCAAGGTCCAATAACTGTTTTAAGCCAAAATCCAAATGGGACTCTTTTAATGTCTGCTTATTGCAGTGGTAGAATTGCACTCTGGCAAATTCCTGCGTCGGTCCTATGTGATAAGTCTGAACAAGATCTGATAAAGGGTCGTTTATATAGTCCTGATGAGGAATGTGATGCGATAGAAACAACACGGGGAAATGGTAACTATCACAACTCCAGTCAAGTCACTCACGACTTCCTACCGCAAGAAACTTCAGTGGCTGAGAAAAATAGAAGTTCTTTGTCCTATACTAGCAGTTACGGGCGCCTGCTTTGCATAATCGATGATGCACACGGTGTTGATCATTCAATCAATCTCTGCTGTTTTACCACTGTTTCTTCATTAGCTGCTTGTGTGGATACTGGTGGATCAGTATTCCAACTAAAGTTCACGTGAGTCTAGTGGCCACTTTGTTGTGAACAACCCTTTTGTATCTGATTTTTCTATGGTGTATAACTCTCTTACTGTTCTGATTGAGGTTCGCCTCTTTCTTTAAAATTATGCTAAGTTTTGCTTAAATAGGTTACTTGAAGATTTACTTCTTCACTAGACTAAAACATTTTTCATTATACATCGTAATACCCTTTATCTGACTCACCAATTATTTATGACTCATGCTGTGGTGAGTCCCGTGGGTTGGTTTCAAGATACCGTAACTCATTTACCTTTGTGTAAATTGCTCGTTCTTCCGCCTACTGTGTATGGTTATCAAGCAGTTTGACTCAGCGGTGGTTTTTTGTCTTATGCATTTAACATGAACCTACGAAATATGGATATTATAATCTAGAAGATAGATTTTCTCACCTTTTCTTCATTTAAGTAGTTCTTGAATAAAAGCGTTGTGATCGTGACTTGTTCATCATGCAAAACGGTAACTTGGTTGACACAATAAGCTATAAGAACTAAATACTGGAACCATAGCTGCCAATTTGAGGTATTGGTCGAGTTTGCATATTACAATGACCCAAAGAGTTATCTTAGCTGCCTCATATGTTCCTTGAAGTCCTATCATGTCACAAAGGTCTATTGGTTAGTGATAAGGCAAAAAGCAGTTACCATCGTAATGGGGGGGGTCCAAGGGCGAAGTTGTGCTGCTGGTTTTACGGGGTATGATATCAGGAAGATGTTTTCGGTGGATAACCAGCAGTACCATGCTGGTGCTGCCTTCCCTATACGAAGAGGTAGGGAGTTTAGTGGACGTCGACGTGAAAGTAGCGCACTTCTCCGTGATACTCCGATACCGATGGTGTGGGTTTCCCTTGTTTGACATTGACACAATCGAACCAGTCTAATGACCCTCAACAGGCCGTGTGTGAAATGTCTCGAACATGTTTCACGAAATCTGTGGTCAGGGGAAGCCTATCCTCTTTATTTTCAGATACCATGTTATGAATAGCTGGGGGATTGTCAGCATGCCACACGGCTCCTGCAGTATGCAAAACATGATTTACCGTGACTTACTTTTCTAAACTTTATCTCTTCCCTTGCTTTCGCTTCCTGAAACTAATACTGAATCTCTTACAGGTTCTCTAACCTCTCACTCTACGACCATTGGCAACAATCCAGGCCTGCAAAACACCATTCGTAGTCTCATAAAACTCCGCTCTCAACTTCGTATTGGTGTTTTCAACGTCCGAGTTCTACGTCAAATCTTACAATAGGCATTTCTTACCGAAACTGGAGTTCCGAGCCATAAATGTAATCTCTGTCAGGCGAAGATGCTAAAAGAACTCAGGATCCTCTGAATGCCGCGAGCAAACGTTTGGGCATGTCTTGCATACGTTTCGCAACTGTCAAATATGAGATGGGGCTGCTCAACTGCTCTGTAACTACTCCATAGTTTAATTATAGGCGCTTAAGTTGTTGGATGGGTTAACCTCTTCACTAACATGGACTGGTTGCTGAAGAAATCTCAGCTCGATACTGATTACCCGCTTCGCTTTCGCCAGCTTATGTCATTTATGTCGCCTCCATGATATTCGAATGTCTCTTAAGGGTCTAGTGCATTTCGCTCAGTTCTACCATATGGGTGTAAGACATTGCCGTTAAAAGTAGGTGTTAAGTTTTTCAAAAGCAAATATTTTGGTATCATCGCTTGGGTATGTTGGATTCACCATGTGAGCAATGTCGGGATGAAGCTAAGGGTACTATGCAAGGAAGGCAATAAGGCTGTAAACCCTCACCGACAGAGAGTGCTTGGAAACGTGTTGCAAACCCCCAGCCACCGTCTAGCTCAACTTTCAATGTTAGCTGAAGTAGAATTGGGTTTTTATATCAATTATTTTTCAAATCACTGATGCTGACTGAAAAAAGGGATAAATCAATTTATATCACTACAATGAAATAAAGAGTAATTACAAACGGCAAGCATTCTTCGGTGTGCCGTGACTAGTTTCAGCCTAATTGGAAATGTTACTTAGTCATTGTGAACGCTATATCAAGGTTTATCTTGTTTTTATTTTATCTTTCTTTGAGAAGGAATACAAATGGCGTTTTAATTTTTTTATGCACATTTTATATAAGTGTTTACCCATCAGTTAAAATCGCACTCCAAATTAAACTTAAGGAATTATGAAACTAGAAGCCAACGCAAACTATTTGTCTACTCAATTAAAAGAAGGCGAATAGCGAAAAAATGACGCAAAAAAATACCTCAAAAGAGTATTGTTTAGACAAAAGATAACTTTATAGCTATCATTTAAACTTTCGTAGTATTTCTCAAGTCTTTATGTAATTTTTTTTACAGACAACCAGCTTCTATGGGTATTCGATGCAGGGTGTTTCTAATGTGCTAAGAAATACAGGGGTACTTAGAAGTTTCAACAATAATCCACACAATTTTGACGGTGAACAATGACGTTAGTTTTAATAAAGTGCTTGAATATCTCTGAGTCCTAAAACATACTGATTTACAGTCAAGTTTATGATATATAGACAGTTAGGTTTCTGCATAGAATTAAGTTTTTAGTAAGCTACTTTTCTGTCTACTATACTAACTTCTTCATCGCCATATTTACAGTGATATTGTTGTCATCTAGCTGAGATTAAACCGTCATGTTTTTGCATTCTAGAAAAGGATTAGTTGGTCTGAAGACAGAATCTATGTGTTTCTTTTCTGGAAGGTAAGTTACTAAATAAGTTTACTGATTTATTACTTTTCTGAAGTGTTTTACCTTTATGTGGTAGTGTGGTGTAACCTCTACGATTTATTTTTCGGTTTGCGTATAAATTCATATAAACGGAGTTGCTGAAATCTTTCGTTTCTATAGTAGTGGGAAAACTTCTGTCATACTTTGCTGTTGTTAGAAAACGTTTCCGACAAGAATTAGTCATTTGGGTCTATTAGAATTGTAATTCCGAATCAGTTGTTGTTGTGAAAAAATCCATCCGTGAAATCTAATTAGTTTTCTGTGTGTATTATCTGGATAGGACCATCTTATGATACAGAATCCAATTCATACTCATCTGGAGCAGCAACCAATTGATTTATAGGTCAGTTTCATGGGTCTTGCAAGGTACTACTAGATGCGACGATCAATTTGCAAATTGTTTAAAGGTTTTGCCGTCCACATTGACATTTATCATAGTTGAGTAGTGTTCCAACTGTTCAGTAGTTACGTCAATAAGGATTCCGTCAATATTACATAGTGTGATCTCTGACAAGAAATATGATGAATTAACGAAGTATGCTACTAAAGAACACGAATAGTTGAAAGTCCTTCACACTGATACTTAGATTTCGCTAAATAGATGGGGACAGTCTATCCACTGGATGGTTAGCAAATTCTGCACATCGGTGTGTGGTTTCTGACTACTCATACTGTTCAGCAGTAAATTTAGAAAGTCGTCTTATTTTGAAATCGTTTTGTAAAGCTTGTTTTTGTTGTATATCGTGGTGTATGATGCATGAAGTGTCTGTGATGAATTTTATGTAGGTACATCAGCGTTATGTGTGTAATAGTAAGTTTGAGTGCTGTTAGGAAACACTTGTGATAGTTCTATTTGGATTCTAATTCTTTTTTAGTAAGCGAATCGTTTCGCAGTAACACATACTTTTTTGCTTTAATTGTAATGTCGTTTTATGCTACTTGTTTACTAGACATATTTCTGTTAAGAATGAAATGGCAATATTTTTTTCTTTTAGTCGTGTAGAAATATGTACAATAGAGGCTCTTGGATTTAATGCTATGAAAACCAATGGGAATTTTGACTCCAAACAGTTAGGCGATCAGTATAAAGAAGCAAAACTTTCAATCTTAACTACTGCTGCTCTTTTAGCTATAACGTCTTTTACCAAGTTGATCATCGTAAGATTGCGTCCTCGTATTCAGGTATCATATTGGCAACCTTTGAAGGTTAGTTTTGCGCTAACTTCCTCACTACATTATCTCCTTTAAAAATGCAAACAAAATCAGTGCCACTTCATTTCCTTATCACTTATAATAGCATTCAAGCGTAAATGCTCACTGGATTCTAACTCAACGTGTATTGATCATAATTCGAAGAATATTCGGAAATCTGCTGATTTAGAAGAATTATCAGCATTGAAGACATCACTTCTTAGTGCTTATGAGCATGTTGCACGTACATATCGTTTTTCTGTTGTATTAAATCACATCTCGTAGAGTTGTAGCTCATTGATTATGGTGTAAAACTGTCAACCCTTTGATCATGGCTCTGAATCTCATTCTTTTTACCAAAGTGTGAACGTTTCCATCAGCCGTCAAATAGTAAGTGTCGTTCATAGTTGTTATGTATTCCGAGCGGATATAATACACGCACTTAACTGATAGCTAACTTCGTACGCAAGATACTCTCCGCCTCGTAATATGGCAAGTTAGGCGGAATATTCTTCTGGAAATAAGTAGGATTTGGGATGATCAGGAAAGGTCCGAAGAAAAACACGCCGAGATAAATGTTCGTGTCTGAAACTAAAGTTTATAGTCTGACATTTTAGAGTTAAACACAAGGCTATTCACGGAGGACCGTCGTCTTATAGTAGATAGGAAATGGTTCAGTTGAGAACAATTTGTTGAGGAGGAGGCAGGCATGGAAACTGTTAGGTCATCACTATACTTGATAAAATTGATACTAGCTGAGGATGGTAAGTTATTCAGAAAGAAAGAGAAAAGGTCGGAGAAAAAATGCACCTTGGGGAACACCAGCCTCACTAACCAATGAGGCAGAGTGCTTCCTTCTGTGAACAGTATATTGTTTCCTTTCAAGGAAATAGGAATACAGCCAGCTGATTATCCAGTACTCAGTATGCGTCTCGGCTAGTTTGCCCAGCAAAGGAGGTCTTCGGATAGAACCGAATGCCTAAAAAGGCACACCTGACATACTTGATATTTCTGTCAAGATTGTAACCAATATTGTGATACAAGACAGTGGTGGTATCCAGAATGCTTCTTTTGCTTTTGTATGCAAATTGACTAGGATCTCCAGAAACCTTCAATGAGAGTTCAAGTTCAGGTGTTGTCAGTTTTTGCATTATTTTCAAGAACGGACAAGTGACTGCAATCGGATGGAATTTCAAACTTGTATGGAGTCACCGACTTAGGTACTGGAACTATCTTAATGTCTTTCCAGGCAGCTGGTATGGTGTGTTCTGAAAACTATCCATTAAACATGGTAGTTGGTGGATGGCATGATGTATCAACGCATTTCGTAAATATGGAACTTAACATAGCATGCGGAAGGCAACATAAGCATGCTACTGCTGGTCATATTTGACAAACACCTTACAGTTGTCAGACACCCGTTTAGTCAGCAGAATGACTTCGTTACTATTTACATTACGATGGGAACTGCTTTTCATCTTACCACTATTCAATAGACCTTTCTCGCATGGCAAGTAAGACGTTAAGGGAATATGTGTTCCAACCAGTATAAGCTGGTTGGGTCATTGTGATATCCAAGCCTGACCACCACGTGAAGCTACTAGCTATCGGTCGAGAATTTGACTCCTTGTATCTAGTGTTCATATTGGTCAGGTCTAACACATAAAAGCATTATAAGTGATAATGTAATTTCAACTGCGATGGTTCTTAGTTAATAACTTATGAACTAGTTCTCAGTTTACTATTCTCCGAATGGTTATTGTACAGGATATAATTAGTTTTCGTATGTTTGATTTATGAATTTCCAGTTGTATGTTATTTGTTCACTCCCGAGATTTTGTGTCAGTCACTTGCAAGATAACATTCTTAACAATGATTAAGAAGTAATTAACTTAATTGCTGTCACATTCAAACTATGTAGTCAGCTTTTATAATGTCTAATTCCGACACGTGTCTGATTAATTGGTAGGATGTGAAAGGATGGAAGAATCTAGCGTGCCCTAGTCGGTAATGAAATGAATTAGATTTCTAGTCACTGAACATATGTTGCCGTGTGTGGTTAACCCCAGTTTTGATAGTTTATTGAAGTCCTGTCGGTTTTCAATTGACTTTTGTTGACGATATTGAAATATGTGTATCTTTTTCTTTGAACTATAAATTTGCTAAAAACTTGACCATCGTATCCTTTTATACCCAATAGCAACTTTTGAAGTTAACTAATCGTTTAATTTTAGGGACCACCAGCATTTCTCCCCTGTCTGAACTGGTATTGGTGTGCTGATTCTTCTGATAGAGCATTTCTTGCTTTTGGACGAGGCTCAGTGATTCAAATTATGCAAGTGTCTAAAATCTCTCGGTTAGAAAATATGTCAGTAGATTCTTTACAAATGACAGAATGTAGTTTCCCCGACAGTTCCACTCTTTTACGTACAAACACTTCAATGGATAATCAGAATCAGCTTGATTTCAAGTTATTATATTCCTTTAGTTTCGAGCAAAACTTTCTCAATCTGAAGGTAATTCGGAATTTATTATGTATGACTGAACTAGTTATTTCGTATTTCAGTTTGCTTTCAGTAATTTTGCGGGATATATATATAGTTCTGATGATTTAGTGGCATTTTTCATGTCATCGGAGTGTTAACTTCTTAAAACAATTCAAACGGTCGCATTACAATGTTTAAGGGAATATGATAAGAGCCTTCGTATAAGTAAAAAATTCATTCTTTTTGCCGTATGAGTATCGACATGGATTAACATAAGTGCTTGCTATGCTGTTTCATGGAGTGTTGCATGATAAATTGTCTTAGCATCGTAGCTTAAGCCTAGGAACATCAGCATAATGATACACTTTTATTCGTGTAACTCCTTTCTAACATCGAACAACAAAACCAGATATCCAGAGATAAAAGTTTGTGACGCTATTTATATGTTTCATCTTGTTTCAGATCAAATTTGTTTATGCCTATGTCTGATAAGCAAAATTTTTCGAAAAACTTTTCAAACTTGATGTTATTGTGAGTACAGTTCCTAAACAAGGTTATTAAGCCCCACTTTAAAGCCTGAAAATATAGTCTTAAGGAGACCCATTCTATTGAATAAATGAAACAGGGAAGTTGAGACTGGTTTTCGTTTCCTTTTCAGCAGTGCGTTGTATGCAATCGCTTAGTCCGTTCAATATACGCCTAACATCCCAAGTCTCATCACCTACTGCTTCAAATCGACGACCGACTAGTTGGCGTTTGTAGAGCTCATGTTTGTGTATCTGCATCCTTTAGTTAACGCATTCTATTTTCTATCTGTCAGTCAGGTTCAAAACCCTCTTAACCTACTGAAGTTTCTGTAGCGAGGTAGAATAAATAGCCCTTCGCTGTTAAATGTTGGGCGTCAATTGGTTGGAAATCTTGCCAACTGAATCCCAGCATCTGACACCGAATACATTGCAGTGTCATGCCAATTAGCTTAGGGACCTCATTGTAAATTTGACCGATAAACTTCAGTCAGTTCCAGATATTAAGGGATTAGACAGCCGAATCGGTTACCCACTGGTGATCAGTTAGTTTGCATAACTAGCCTGTACACAGTACGAACGAAATGAAACGCACTCAGCAGCAGGCACTGAGCCACACCTATTGTGTGAAGACTAGTGGTACTACTTCAGCAGGTAGAGCGGGGCTCGAACCCGTGACCCAGTAGTTGGTAGTCACCTCCCTAAATTACCGAGCTATACTACATACCTTCATCAAGTGGCACGCATAACTAAAACCAATTTGAGTCTAAACCAACTGACCAGTCAATGTGTAGAACAAGTTTCAGTTCTGTGAATCATGTGTCGCATATCTTTCATATGGGTAATCGTTCTGTTTTATTTCTGGCCACCTACCATTTCTTCTGAAATCACTTTTAGTTTTGTCTAAGTATTTGGTTTACGGCATTACTAGTCATCGTTCACCAAGACCGTATCATCAAGTCAATCTATTCGTCAGTAAGCAGTCGTAATAACATTCGTTAATATATACTTCTGGTGAATTGCGTTTTCTTCTTCGCACATAACCATTACTGTTACTTTTTTGCTACTTTTTAAAATACTATTTTTGTTTTTAGTGGATCTCTTTCAATCAATCGTTGTTGTGGATGAAAGTGAGCAACTCATTTGCTGGATAGTTTAACCGGTGAAATACTGGAAGTAAATTTACCATTTTTATTATTTCAATACTGTTATTAATAGTCTTGTTCTGTTCATTCTTTGGTAAAAATTCGCAAGTTATAATAGTAGTGATGCTTGTTTCAGCTGAAACAACCTGATGACATCAAATGCATCTCAGTTATATGAGACTTATGATGCTATTTATACTTTAGTTATTACATAAATAGAATTGTTTTTCGTCGAAGAACCCAAAATGATGGCAAAATTAGATTTTAAAAAAACACCGTTTTACTGATTATTGCATACCAGAGTCTAAGAACACTACGATTGAATACCTAGAAATACTTCACTCGTACACTGCAGAAATGTATCATTATTCATCATTGCATCCCTCTTTGTTTATCGTTTGTCCTAAACCTAAAGAAAATAATCTTAATACTGCCAGGTATTAATCTTTCACTTAAGTTCATTCATTTTTGTCTAAGTCTTGGAATAGACTACTTAAGACTACCTAGGATGAAAAAATGGTTCAAATGCACTAGGTTGTTATTTGTATTTGAGCAAATCCAAGGTGATTGCAATCTACTAGCCAGTAGTCTCGTGATTTTTAAATACATAAGAGGCATAAATGACTATGGTCATCTCAGTGTTGATGTGCGACTGATAACCACTTTTAAACAAAAACATTAACTCCTAAAATTAGCACATGAATACATTTTGTTCAATGTGAAACGTGAAAGCTTAACATTCAGTTCAGTTGTTAGTCTGGAATCAACAATCGTGTAATCTACGTTTATTTTAGCCATGACATTATTTCGAAAGAACCAACCTACCTTTCTGTAACCATATTGTGACTAAACCCACGATTATCTCACGAAGGTTGAATTACTTGTCCTAGGTAAAAGCAGGAATCCACTCCTTCATCTTACAGCTTCACACCTTCAGAGATGATGCAGATGAGTCTGAAGCATTAGTTTGCATTCTGAAGCTGCAAAACCAAACTTTTTCACTTTTAGTTATGTGACATGTAGGAGGAATCCTTTCTCTGAAATGTTTGCTACAAGAAACGATAATGTTTAAATACCCTTCCAGTTAGTAGATCTTCAGGCGAGAGATCATTCCATGTAAGTCAAAGGTTACTTTTCTAAGAACATCTGTGGGAAGGCAAATAAAAATCAGTACATTAAATTGCCCTGATGAACACAACTTACCAATGAATTGAAGTTTCCATAAAGTATCATACAACTTCAGCAATACGGGTGAAACTTGGCTAACCATAACCGACACATGGTAAACTACCTTCATCAAGAAATTCATTTCATATTTAAATGAAACTAGGTGTTTGAAATAAAGCTCTGGCAGGTATAAATGTTTCCTTGAGTCGGAGTTGCTTGGTTGGACCTTATACATACCTGATCCTTTTGTATCTTTCTGGAAGCCCAATCATTTTGTTTTCGTCCATAGTATAATGTGTTTAGTGTCCATGATTTGGAATGAAATCAGAACCTTTTAAATATTTATTTTCTATGCGTCGGTAGGTAAGTGTTGGCACAAAAGACCCAGCAGCTGTTTTCAAGTTTTCATTTCTATTTCAGTTACCAAACCTGTGTATCAACGGAGTTACGCACTGAGTTTATATGATCGCCAAACTATACTTCATTCGCTCAATATGCATAATGATAAAATAGGAAAATATAATTTCTTTTCCTTATTTCTTTGCAGACTGTTGATATCTCAAATACACATCTCCGTTATAATTCAGATTTATTCAAATATCCGAAAGTCAGTGAAGCTCTTGTAAGTTTTTTTGCTTTTAAAAATAGCGATCCAATCCAAATTTATTCAGATGTTCTTAAGAGTTTAACGCGTAGAAAACAAACTTATATTACTGGTTTGAGTAGGGTTTCAGCAATTCCATTAACCATGTATGCATTTAAAAGTTCTCAAATATAAAAACTGGAGTTAGACGACAAAGTATTGCTATTAATGATCACGAAACTAGTGATTACAGAGTCTTTCTAACATAAAATATCTCGTCTTCGTTACCATGTAACTTCAAAACTGCAGTTGAATCTTTATTCGCACAAGACGGTGCGTTTCACAGTAAAACATCAATAAGCCAGCTTTAGATAGTCGTGAGTGACAAACAGTGCTTTACTAGCATAAAATTGATGTTTAGCTCCACTAGATGGTTCACCATTTTTGTCCATTATTGACTTCCTGACTATCTACTTCCATATCCAATCTGTCGGTATTCATGGAAACATCCTATTCTTTGAGTTTATTGGTTTCGTTTTATGTAAATATTCAATGACAAAGTCCCTAGAGCTTTTTTCGTACGTATTTTGTGGACTCGTGGATGTGTTCATTTGTCTAAGCACTCGACACACTAACCCCAGTGGGTTATAAAGTCAAACCCTGATCCGTCTGTCGAATTTTAAACAGCCAAGTAGCTTATACGGCTTTCAAACAATAACTGTGACCCTTTGCCTATTGTACGAACACTCATACAGTTGATGAGTGGATTTCAATTTTTTCTCGAGTACAGGATTTTTGTATTGTCTTGTAAAAACATTGTAGGGATTCTTTCCCTACTTAGTTAACAGCAAACCTGCCAAATCTTATTGTAATGTGACTGTGGCTTTAGTCAATCTGTAAATGTTTCCAAAGATTTCAGACTAAATTGTAATGTTTTGTACATCTGAATTCAGTACTCATCGATCGAACAGTACCACGTCTTTAGATTCATTTGGGTACTGTACATTTATGTGCTCTAGTACAAATTAGTACTACAATAGGAACAGGATTTTCAGAGTACCAAGCGATCATTCTAATTTCACTGCTTTCTCAGCTGCATGCTACGTAGTTACCTTTACAATTTTCGTGAAAGGTGAGAAATAATGAACCCCAGGAGGATTATGTATATATTCGTTAAAAAAAAAGCGTTTGGATGATTTTAGAGCTCTGTTGTGGTGGTTTACAGACTGAGATGCTAGCAGTTTGATCATACCTTGGATCTTAATCTACTATTCTCGATATGGTTGATAATTAGGGATTATGGTGTAGGTTGCAACTATACGAAGCGTACACGTGTGCTTATTTTATGTCATTTACTTTAAACACTAAATCGGTGCAGTACAGTTGTTAAGAAATGTGCTACACAATGTCGTCTAACATCGGTGTAACAACAAAGATGAAAAGAGACAAGGGAAGAAATTAAAAAAAGGCATGATCATACAATTGATTATATAAACTATCCACAAACCAGCTTTCATAACAGTCGTCTAATAAATACAGGACACAAGAAAGTTATGGAATCTTCACCACCGGTTTCGATTTCAAACCATATATGATGTTGTGTCACAGGTCCTCTCAAACTCCACCTAAGCAGTTCTAAAGCGTCTACAAAGGTTAACCAAACACAACAGTTATTTATTCTACGACACTACGCCATACACTGTCCACTTTTTCCATCGAGTTGCTTGGCTGGTAAGCAGTGCACACTGTACCTCACTCGATGTATGACTGTTCCCAACAGACCTAAACTCACTGCTTGGCCTCAGAATTATTTACATTGCATTTTCATTGTAAGTGAGCGTTCTTTGAGTTAAAATGGCAGTCAGGCACGCAGAAACAAAAAATATTCTAAGCTTAGAAATCTTAGGCCCCACAGGTGAAGATTGGAAATGCCTGAGGAGTAGCGTTGTGCGTTCGATGTTTTACAGCCAAACTAACATAGGAGTGGTATCAAAAGTTGGTATATCCCGCTCTGACTTACGAAATAGGGCTTAAGATTTCACATACAATGAAGAGTTGGCTTGCTTTTGTGTCGTTAATTATCTCCTTTTAAATAAAATTTCCGGTCATTTTATCATATTTTAATTGTGAGTGAATGAAAAAATGTTACTGTTCTTCATATTTCTGTTTTTCTTTTAAATTTTTTATAGGCATTTGCAGGTGAACGAGCTTGCATGCATTCACTCACCGCTTATAGATCTCAGTTATTGTTACTTGGTGAAACTGGACTTTATCTGATAACATTACGTACTTGGGATGAAGTAAGCTCCGAATAGTTTCTTTCCTAATTTACAGTCGGTCAAAGGCTAGTTCTTTCAATAGTTTGGTAACTGAAGTCCAGAAGTTCAAATTGGTTATTTACATCTATTTATCTTTTGAATTGTTACTCCAATTTTATGTTACTACATTTAGTTGAGTGACATCACCTGTAGAAGTGTATTTTAGGCTGTTCATACAATGTTGCAATAGGTTTCCCACCTACTTAGTCATTGTTATTCAAAGCATTCATATTTTTAGAGTTGTAAAATGTTATGCATTTTATCGTTCTTCGTGGTTGAGACTTTCGATATCAGCTGTTTGACAACTAGCTTAGGGATTGGGATTTCGTGGCCCTTTTCTCCATATGTTCTATGTGCTCATATTCATTATGGGTCAATGGACATATACTGGTCACCAAATAGTTTAGTGTAAATAAACACATTATTTCATGTACGGTCATTATTTCTGTGGTTCATTGGTTTTTGGATGTGACTTTTAACCGATGGGTCACTGGTTCGAACCGCGCTACACCTAGCAAAGTTTGGGCAGCCAGATAGTATCACCAACCCTCATATAATAGGTGTGACTCACCTACTACACAAATGTGCACAAGGTTTCTGAGTGCATTTCAACTTCAGGAACTATTGCATGACGTGTGATGTAGTTTCCATATTTTTCTCTCGAGAATTTTATTTAACTTACCTCACCTTTACTGGCTTATATTTTAAAGTGAATATAGTTTCCCTAAAAACATCATTTTTAATCACATTTTAGAGTGTTACTTTTCTTCTCCGCCGCAAACAACTTCTTTTGGCTCTTAACTATATGGAGGCTGCGATGAAATCACAGTTCAATAAGCTTTCTTATGAAACAGACAGAAAATCTCCTAGTGTTCCATCTGTGTACAATCAAATTTTAACTATCCTTCGTGATGAAGTACTTCGTGTGTTAGTTTCTGAGAATGATGGGGATAATACTTGGATTTCTGGGTTTTCAATAATGGAATCAATTGTTCGAATAGCTTGCATGATTAAAAAGCCGTAGGTTCTGTTCATGTGGTATTACCGTTACCTGTATGCAACAAAATATTAAGGCTATTCTATTCTATAATTTGCTTTTCTTTATGTGATTAGGGATTTAAGAAAGCTTGTGTTTTGCATAAAAGCTTCACCTACTAGAAAAGGCAAATTAAAATATCATTCTCAGCTTAATGGATATTTATCGGGTTGTGTTTAGAACCCAGACTAAAGTTTTTGTGCTACTGCTATGGTATCTCATGGAAACTAGATTTCTTCATTACCAGGGTAAATGTTTTTAATTAACCATTTTACAATGGTTTGGCGATATCAATTCGTGAATAAGACTGTCGAATCTCATACCTTCCGTTTGACAAGTAGCATGAACTTGCACAGATAGTTGCAATAGACTGAAGTCCATAATCATCGCAAAAGGAGTGATGATACGTAATAGCTACTAAAAGCAAACAGATATACCTGAATATTACCTCTCGTTTGTGTGTTTGAAAATCAAACTAAGTGAATACCAATATATTTATTACTGACCCTTACTTACTCTGGTTGCTTTTTGAATTCTACATGATCAACATTCATGACGACGGATCACACCTTAGCTATGACATTGCTCTAGGGTACACAGCTATTTATTTCATCCTGATTATCGAATAAACTCAGCATTCTCTGAGACCAATATTTCACTCACTGGTTAAGGAACTACTCGACATAAATTGGTGCAAGTTTTGATTGTTGATGCGTCTTGTTTTCGCTTCCTTCCAAACTTCTGGATATATAGAAGCTGTTTATCAGCCCAACTATTCAGATTAAATTATCTGAACGTCGAATCCAGTTATTATTTGTCTGTCTCCATTGAAATTACAAGTGTTTCTGGTCTGTAATCTTCACATGTAAGTGGAGATAACTTTCAGCTTTGGATTTTTTACCTTATTTTTCAAATAAAATGTGTAAAATATTAGTTAACGCTGGTTCACATCATCATTAGGTAACAGTCGCATCTTTACATTTTTTACAGTGATTTCATATGGTCAGATTTGTATCCAGCTGTTCGACACCATCCTCAGTTGACATCTGACTTATTCGCTGTTACCTTCTCTGTTTTAAAATCGCTACCTCCGTTTGGCCAACTTTGCACAGAATGTTGTCAACCTGTAGATGAACTGAATTCCAGGCAGTATTTTATAAATCTTCCTCCTGATATGACCAACCATTTCATCAAGTGGTGCTTGAATCAGGATAACGCGATGGAGGTACATACATCTGATCCTAACTCAACGAGGAGCGATATTTTGACTGATAGAAAACTCAAGACCGAGATTTGCCTACTGCGTTTGCATCCATCGTGCTTAGATTTCAACCATGTAAGCTTTCACGTATATTTTCTCTTTGTTTGTAATAGAAAGGTTAGTTTTTGACCTTATATTTTCTTTTCAGTGATACAATCAGTCATTCATTTTGATGCTAACATTACCATTTACTTTGAATAACTGGAAGCTTTTATTCTTCGCTGATACAATGGTGGTAAAAAACAACAGTTGGTGAACTTTGATTTAGGCAGTAACAATACGATTACAATGCAAAAGGTGAAGGCCGCACTTTACTTTTATGTGGCATGGGTTGAGTCTATGGAAGTTTTTCAATATGACAGCAGTGTGACATTATTAGTTCAAATGGCAATCAAAATAAAATATTCTAATTTGGTAATACTGTCTATCCATTTCATTTTTTCCACTTCTCACAGATTGTTGTGGTTCACCTTTTTTGGTTTTCCTTCATACTACTCTTTAAAAGAATCTACTATCTTGTCGAGTAATGCGTTGGCGCAGTGTACTAATCGATTCACCTTTCTGTTATAAAGCTAATTATTTTATATGGCATTCATTGTTGAACGTGAAGAGTCGCGTAGCCTTAAGTGAAACGTAGAACATACTACAATTTTATTAACAGGACACTTTACACTTATGCTTCGTTTGCTGATAACTTAGTAGCGTTTAATTGTTCGTCTCTCTTTTCAAGTATTTATGAGGGCTTTTATGAAATACACTACTAATTGGCATAAGTAGTCGTAGACCACTCATGTTGATCAGTAATGCTCGCTAACCAGGTCAAGGTGATCTAAACACTGGATAGTCGTTTCGTTCCATTGAGACCAAGTTCATTAGGTTTGTATTCGGATCGATTCAACTCAGGTAGCCAAAATGTTCAAGTGACCGAAATTCTGACTAGATAACTGAACGGACTGGACACTCGTAGAATCAACTCAGTTTTTGGCGAAATGTGTATCGCTTGGTGAAAAACTTCACCGTAGTCTCCTTTAGAAACTAAAATATCCAAATCACAATATGGTTTACTTGACACTACCATTGGCACCGAGATTGAGAGATTGAAAGCTGTACGAAATATGCTAGTGGGTGACATAATTAGTTGGTTTTATGTTGGCGGACGCCAAATGAGACAGTATCTATCCTTATGCTTGAACTTAGTGCTGGCCAAAAGGTAGTGACCGCCCGACTAATTGCTACTACCTCAATGTGGTAGTCGGGCTTGGGTATCACAATGACCCGACCAACCATGCTGATAGAACACTTGTTCCTGCGAGTTCCTAACATACCAGAAAAGTGTGTCTGATAATGGTAAGATAAAAAGCAGTTACTGTCATAGTGTAGACAGCTGCACTATAATATGGGTCCATGGGTGAAGTCCTACTGAATGGGGTGTGACTGCAGTAGGTTATTCCCCACGGATGACTAGCATATCCCCGCTATGTATAATATATATATATATATATATATATATATATATATATATATATATATATATATATATAATGCAGAGAGAAAAAGAGTAAACAACAGCTTTATTTGCAACTAAAGACCATCCACTACTGTTCATTTCGGTTGTCTTTTTTTTGTTGCACAGGCTGTAAAAATCTGTTGGACAGAATGTTTATTCGATGCCTACTTACATTTGTATACGGATATTTTAATGGATTTCGAAACACCTTTTATAGATCTTACACGTTACCTGGTTAATAACTTGGACCCTTCAAAGGGAGAAGCAGGTAAAATTTTTGTAACGTGACTGCTATGTTCATCGATGATCTTTATGCAATCACTAGGATATTTTCATTAAAATTCAGATGACGTTTCCTATCTTCTATGGAGGTACTTTTCATCCTAATTTGAATGGTTAGGTCCTTAAACTTCCTAATTACTTGCAGAGGAATGTTTTAGCGCATTTTGTTTTGCACTTTGTAGTGATTTTTCCATAAAGGTTTTGATGATGTTACATCCCCAAAAATGAACTTTTTATGCTTAAATTTTATAAATTTATCTAATGGAAAATTTGAATTGTCTTTTTCGTGCCCTTTTCCGCCTCACGTGTATCGCTCAGCTTCACTGCTTTTGAGAACGCTGTTTTCCTGTTGGTTTTGTCTATTCGCCTCAAGGGTGCTTCTGTTGTATATAAGTACAAGAGTTATATCCGTTGGTTGTACTATCATTCTTTGGTTACAGTAAACTCACTTCAATCCAACATTGTCTTCTTGTTTGTATCGTCTGAGCCAGTTGTCAAGTGCCTCACCGTTCGTCCAGTAATTAGATTACTCACCTCCAATCAATCGTATTCGAGAACCTCAACAAATGAAGATCAAAGTTTAACACTTAGATCACTCAGCTGTGAAAACGCAACATCACTGGCATTTACGAGGTCTCCAAGTCTTTTCATCTTAAACTGACCGAAAGTGTGATATCGTTGTTTATACGCATTTCCTGGAACGTGCTATCAAACTAATCAGCAAGACATTCTGACCTCGGTCCCGAGATCAGGCATTTTAAACTCATTAACTCTGAATGGACCAACTACCTTTCATCCCCTTGTGTAATACGTAATTCATTACATCAGTATGCAGTAGATCTACTTATTTTAAGCTTTAATGATATGGGATGGTGTATATACTGGTAACTTCATGTGATCATACCACAAATGACTAGTAAGTAGTTGCTCAAACAAACATTCTCGTTTGTTGTAATTTCTAAACGATGTTGTTTTCGCACAACTGCACGATCAGTCATTTCGTCCAAATCGCTTCATTTTTATAAAGGTGCACCTACATAATTACGTGTAGAAAGTTATTAGGTGTACATGTTACTACTTTGAGGTTTTGGCTGGTTCCCATTCAGTCCTGAGTGCTGATCGAATTTTATCCAGCATTTATTTTGCAGTGTGACCACCAAGCTAGGAGGCTTAGCATTGTGGTGCATATTGACAGATGCTAGTTGTTTGGAGACACTTGGCAAGAAGCGCTGGACCCAGGTTTCGTGCTTGTCAGCAAGGCGCATCTTCACCCTCGTTTGAGATTCAAACTCACGTTACCCAATGTTGTAGTCGGTGACGTTACCAATGATCTATTTGGGCCGTCCTCATTTATTTAGTTAAACTTGTATGGCAAGTTATTTTTTGAGACTCAGTTTTTGTATACTAAGGGTGTTATGTAGCTATATATAGCAATACCAATTCTATCCGTCTTCCTAAAGACTGTCAACTTTTAATTCCTGAAGTTCTGAATTCGTTTATTGTGATTTGTCTGATGCATTGGCTTGACTCATTTTTTCTACCCCATTTTTAAACGGTTTAGGCAAAGATGAAAAGAACAGAATCGAAAAGTGTGTACACTGTTTGTTGGTATTACTTCGTTTAGCATTCGCAAGTGAATCCTTCTGTCACCAACGTTTGCCACCTCCCTTGGATCAAAATATTCCTCTTAAAGTTAGTTTTATTACTTGTGCATAACTCATGGACATATTACCATCTTATGTTATCACAAATTATTTGGTGGTCTTCTCGTATGTCATGTTTTGACCTTTGATTTTCGTTGATGAAGAATGCTTAAATATGAAGAACAGACCTTTTTGGCTGAATGTAAAACAATCCCCTTCATATAATGTTGCTGATATTTTACAGTGTGACTTGCATGGTCCGTTTGTATACCACATTTCAGTCTTAGCTCAGTCGTAAAATATTTCCCTTTACATTCACGTGACTGGAATTTGTTTCAATCCATTTTACTATCTAAACAATGCTTCGTAAACGTAATCAAAGTCTTCTGGAATCCTTCAGTCAATTCAATAAAATTTAGATCTGGCCTACTACGTTAGCTTTTATAATGTAGGTGGTAGGTAGCCAGTTCAGTACTTAAGCGACTGTTGCTTCTAATCAGGTTCCAAGGTAGGCTTCTCAATTTCAATCATCCTTTGTGTGTAATAGTGGTATTCTTAACCAAGGCTATGCCAGACATTATATTAAAACATTTTTGTTGTTTCGTTTCTGTATCTAATTCTTTTAATGTTCTATTTACAGGTTTTTAATCTTATGCTCAGTGAATCCTTGGTTAACATGAAAGGTTTTCCTGCATCCATTCTAAACGTCAAATATCCTTTCTTACATTCGCTTTTGCAGTACAGTCCTATTGACTTTCTCAATTTACTCACTTTATCAACTTCTGGTGATGAATTTTTCGTCAATGGGGAACTGGGGTAAATATTTTACATTTCAGATTTATTTGACTTCGATATATTTTTACTTGGTGTTGTGAACAGCGTATGCTAGTGATACAGCCTTTAGCCAGCAGAAAGTGACGTGTATGTTAATTCAACTCACAGTTACTTTCGGAACTTTACTTTCAAGTAACAACGTTATCATGTTTCACAGTTAGCCTTATTCTCGAATAATATCAAAAGATAATACAAATAGTGTTTGAACTGTGAAGGAAGTAAAAGGTGACAAGAATTATAAGCATTGGAAAGCGAATAAATAATTTTGAAAAACAAAATCCTACCATAGTGAATAGTAGTTGGTGTTTTGTTTCTTCTTTTTCAGGCGTTAAACTTCAAAATCCACTCCTTCACGTTCTAGTGTCGCAACTACGTCGACAGAATTCTTTAGCTCCAGTCTTTTTAACATGACGATTTGTCTTGGTGATTCGAAACTAAAGTCATATATATTGTTATTTAGTGACGTTTCTATGGAAAGCTTTAAGTTTTTTGCTTAGCATTTGTTCTAATGGTTCTTACTTATTTCTGTTTTTAGGCACTTTAGTATATCATAGACTGCATCGGTCTTGTACTGCCAACGTTTTTAGCCTACTTAACCATACGTAAATACAATTGCTTTTAGACTCGTATCCTATCAGTTCATTAGCATCTTAGCCACTAACGTGACTTTGTTGATTGAAACTTCCAATCTTAAGCCCATAAACGATAATTCTCTAGATAAATACCTTTCACAGCCTCCGTGTTTTATCCACCGATTTCAGAAACCATACCTTTCGTGCAAATTTAATTCAAAAGAAGATACGAATCAAACACATGATACAGGCGTTGTATAGTATACCATGAGCCACACTTGTATTGGGGGTTATTATACTACCCAATTCAATTCCTCATGTTGAGTGGAATTTTTGAAACACACCGATCGTTTGCAAGTCACGTGCTTAAACCAGTGATTTGCACATCCAAAATTGGTATATTCACTTACAATTTAAGCATTTATAATTTATAGGATGGTTCCGAGTGGAAAATGAGATGATTTCTGTGAAAATCTCTGGAACAAAACAAGGCAGTAGCTTACATCAGTTGGTTTTTTATCGACTAATTCTGATATCAGTTTAAGTAGAAGTTCCCAATTAATCTAAAATATTTTCACAATTATTTTGTTTTTATTGCTAGATAACTTTTAGCTAGTCAGACATTAAGAATTTGAAAGAGGTGTTCAGTAATATCTTATAAATTTACAATTTTCATGTTATTATTTCTCGCGCAGTGATTATCGTAACCGGAAATTGTTTAATTATCGTCACTTTTGTTTACTTTTACAACAGCCAGTCAAGACGTCAACAACTTTACAATTGTCTTCTTCTGACCTCATTACCAACATCATCATCGACTGAAAATTCTCCTCAAGATCCGGTTCGCCAATCCGAAGAATTGCATCAAACTAATTGTCGATTGCTAGTGAATGACTTAACAATTTCTTGTCGCATATTTATCTTCATAATACGTCAACTGAGTTTATTAAACAGTGAAGAAATCAAAATTAACCATAATTTAATTTATCAGGTTCGTTTTGTCTGCTGCACAGTTTTTTTCAAAATTTGGGACATGTACATACAAATTCGGTGAATAGCCTGATCCTCTTGTTTTTAGTGTAGGTTGTCTGTGCGTTACATATTTTAATGTTGCAGTAGGTCTTGGTCCATGCCAAACGTTTAGAAGGAAGGGATAAGAAGTTTAGGGTCTATAGCTTATGCTTGGTGTATTTGTGAACTATTCATCGTCCTACCTTATATATTGCTGTCTAGCTGTAAGATTTTAATTCTGTAACTTCACTGCTAATATTTAGATTAAATCGCTCATTTAAGAAATATCTAAAAGCTCTGTTAAATATAATCCTAAGTTATTTCACGCATTAAACCAGTGATGCCATTTCTTAATTGTTTTTCTGTCAACTGAGAGAAAAAGCTGTTCATGATGCCATAGTCATTGGAATTGTTAGAAGGTGATGAGGTTAGAAGGGAAAAAAAGTAACAGTAATAGCGGAGGATCCTTGTTTTGCTGCACTTGCATGGTCTATTCTGATATAAATTAGCAAGATCTTTTGTGAGTGTAGCGTCTAAAACGCTTGTTGAAGGTTTTTTCAAAGTTTATCCGTTAAAGAATACTGGTTTTGAGTGTTCTCATGCATTTTATCGAATTTTACTCATTGAAAAAAAATTCGAAAGTCTAGGTGAACGATACAGTCACTGGTGTTACATTTCAATACATCTAGCAACACAACAGTGGTTTCATAATCCTGTTAAATTGCGTTTGTTCATGTGACGATAATTACTCCTGTGACTCAGTGTTCTAGGGAGATGTCTATCAACCAGTTGGCCACGGGTTCGAACCCCCCTCCGTCTACCGAGGTTTAGGCAGCCAGGTAGTATCATTAACCCTCACATAATAGGTGTGGCCCATTGCCTACTGAGCGAACGCGCACAATGTGGCTGAGTGCGAGGTCAGGTCAAAGTCAATCACCGCTTTACAAACTACTTCGATAAGAGACTAAAAACATACTATTCTGGCTACTGCATCAGTGTAAAACCTGTTGGTTGAAAACATGGAGAAAGTCTCATTGCAGCAATTTCTAAGTAATATGAATAAAACGACTTGGTTTGTACAACTGCATTCGTTTTGCTTACAGAAACGAGGATGCAATTTTCTCACTTCCGTTGTTTGTATGCTTTATTCCGTTACCTTTCTTCGCGAAGTTCCACAATAAAACTACTTTATTTAGTGCAATGTTCATTGAGGTTTTGTACTGTTAATAAATCATCCATCAGAATGAAACTCTCTCCTTTACTAACTTAGTAATAGGATCTGAACATTTTATTGTGATGATTCATAGACACATGGCTTGAATAGGTAGAAAATGAAGCCTATTTAAAATGCGCAGGGATTCACTGTTCCTAATACACTGAGGAGGTTGATTATTCCGGTACGTAGCTACGGCTTTGCAGTCGAATTTGCGTTATTAGGTCATTTTTATGGCAGTTTGAATCACTTAGGCTGTAACAAAATATTTTGAGCAAATGAACGCTTCCAATTATCTAAATAACCGAGTTAAGTAAGAAACTAGGCAAGATGGATGAATGTTCTAGGAATAAATGTGACCAGTGTAATTGCGTATATACATTCTAAGTATGCAAGTTAATTAAATCAATTTCATACCAGTATCACTTCGAAATTATATTGCCACTTATGTCTACACGTCATTTATTGGTGCTTCGTAAATCTAACGTTTACGGCTTGTCAGAATAACAACGATTATTAGGTGGTATCTAATTTACGGTATTGTTTTCAATTTAAAAGACTCCTATGTTACTATGATTAAGGTAGTAAATATCGTGATTTTATGTGGAAATATTTTTGTTGATTTTCTGAACGATGACATATTCTTATGATAAAATAAAAAATGTTTCCCATTTTTTTGTTTTACTAGCTTTTCGAGTTAGTGTGTAGTGTTAGCAATAAACTATCTAACGGTATTCTATCAGAGTTTGAGCTAGCCACAATTGAATCGATTGAATCAGGTCGTTTAAAACACATTGAACAATGTGTTTCTCTAAGCTCGGATAAGGAATTGTAAGTCCGCTTTCCATCATATTACTTTTATTGGTTATTTATATGTATGCTTTTCTAGATGTTGTTTTGTATATGTGCTATGGATAAATGTTACTAGAAGTCTTCTTAGTAGAGTATAGAGGAGTTCTGGCGACTGCAATCTCAAGCCTTGATTACTGAATCTATCGTGAGCACAACGTTAATTTCCCCGATATTGTATTTGTTTTGGTCTAAGATGTTTTCGTCCAGTCAACTAGAAACTCTAGGATTCAACTACACGTTCTTCTAAACGTTTTATCATAGTGTATAAACAGAGACGAGGAAATCTACCCTTCCTGGATGACATACGTTTCGCTTAGCACATCAGCCAGAGATTGTCTCATTCATTCCCACCTTGATCGATAATTTAAAAATGTAACGGAACAACGAAGGATAGACTTACTAACGAGACAATGCACTAAATGTTTGCATACTGTTTTTAATGAAACTAGTTGATAGAGCGGAAACTTGAACTCATTTCTTGCTGTTTATGAGTTGCTTGTCTACCTCATTGAGCAACAACTTCAGTTTCAGCTAGACTCTTCGTATGAAGCTGCGGTTTATTTGGTCCCGTATGCGGTTTCCATCAGTGAGTTGCAGTTTGGAACACTGTCTAACTTATCGAAGTTTGCGCAACCAGTTCCTTAACATTAAGCGTTGCATTTTAGATGCTTACTACAACCTAATACTAAAACTCTTATAGTTTCTAATGATCAGCGGTAGTAATTTTTCAGCCAATTGTTATTCATTGTTTTTTCAAAACATAAAATCCATGTAGCGAGTTTGGAATTCAGCACAACCCAGTACATATTTGTATCAAACGTTTTATGAGAGCTTATAATATTAACCGATCACCCCACTTAGATAGACTTATGCGTCACAAAATGAACTCTTAGAATTCCTAACGATAACGCAAGGTGTAGACAAGTAGTACATAAGCTTGTGAGACAGTGTTAACTTCTGGCTACTATTTTGCCTAATGCCACACAATTTTGGTCTTTTTCATCGTCGTTTCTAGTTTATCTCAGTATCAATATAACTGAGTACACAACAAACTATTTGTAATCTGATGTAAGTTGTTTGAAAATGCAAAAACATGATTGCCATGTAATGAACAATAGAGGACCTTCTTCTCAATTCTTCCTAGACGCGATTGGCTTAGAAAACGTCCACTGGGTTGAAAAGTTTATTGACGCTATCGCAGTAATGTAAAACTGAGTCACAGCTTGAAAATGTGTATATCTCTTCATAGTCCAAAGCAGCAAGTGTGATAACAATCACCAAGGAATAGCAAACACGGATCGGAAAAGTTGATAAGAATCGCCTTACAGCATTTTAACGCAAAGAGAAAATTCAAACTTTGAAAAAAAAAATCTGAAATATACTAATTAACTAACCAACAAATTCGTCCATACTTAGTGAACCATTTTGTGAAATAAATGCTGATGAAACGTTGAAGAACATCAAGGCTTAGAAAGCACTGAGCAATCGTGAACCATACTGTTTCACATTTTGTAGGTCATTCAGGTAACTGACGTAGAATTCACCACTAACTACTGTATTACGCTGATTAGTCACTGGGGTGTAACCAACTTCATGTCGTCTAGCACTAAATGCTGATCGCATTCTATCGATCATTTTTCAATGTGACCACCAACTAAGAGACTCATCATCACAATGCGCTAAGATAGATGTTAGTTGGATGAAGGCAATCGGAAGGGGAACCTGGACCTAGGTTTACTGCTTTTAGCACTCGTCGACAAGGAGTATATGTAACCTTGATGAAACGAATTTCCTGTCTGAGATATGAACTCTCTTCACCCTGTGCTGCAGTAGGAGATGCTACCACCTTCATCCAACTGTATCGTGACCGCATTGCAAATTGATTGATAAAATTCGGTCAACACTTAGGACTAGAAGACATGAAGTTTGTTACCCTCCACTTAACAATCAGTGAACCTCATTTAGTCTTACAGGAGGTCAGTCACTGCCCAGATAGCTCAGTGGTTACGTCTCTGACGGCAACACTAGTTGGTGCGGGTTCAAACCTCAGGTTGAACATAAGTTCTATCGAGGTTGCAGATACACTATGTTATTCTGTGAACTTTTGTTTCCAAACTGCATTACTTCAGGTAGTAGACTTTCTTATCATTATTATTACTATGTTCTTCACTTGCAGTTGTGATTAATTTTAAAATGCTTTTTTGTAGGTATAAAGTTTGCGAACACATCCACCGAACTTGTGGTAATGAACTTCTGGTTTTGAAATATCAAATACTACGTTTAAAGAAAATCATAATGAACAAGTCCAATAGGAATTCCACACTTGTATCAATTCATTCGGACTCTGAAGCAGTAAAGTTAGCTAGTTGTATTTTCCAGTGTTTAGAAAGCAGCATACCTTGTAGTAATAAAGAATTAAAGATCGATGGAGAAAAGTATGATAACTTGAAGTCAATCTGCTTTGAAAACACCGAAGTAATCCATTGTATTATTTGATATTTCGTACCTTATGAATGCTTTATCTGGCATATATTATGTTGAACTTGGTTCAAGAAGACTGTTTATTCATCTGTCGCCTACCTGCTTGAATGAAATTGTGTAACAGGAGTCGAATACTTAGATTAGCATATCTCCAGTACCAAAAATCGTTGTGTAGTTAAACTGATGCTCATTGATAGGAACAAATCTAAATGAATGCATAAGTAGTGTTTCGGTTCAACAAATTGATGGAATTAGGTGACTATGGATGGGTTAGATTGCAAACAGTTTCTTGAATAGTAATGTACGAGCTGTGGGACTCAATGATAGTGAGGTCAATCTTATTGAGGTTGTGAGTCCTGCAAAGTCTCCAAATGGGATGAAACAGCTGTCCTGTGTCCCCAGATTAGGATTATTTTTCCGACTGATGTGAATCTGTGACAAAAGTTACTTTGCAATCACTCGATTCTCAGAAATCACTAATCAAAATGAATTATTTTGCATGTCAGTCTTACATGTGCAGAATACCTACTGGAGATTGAGTTACTTCAAAATGTGGTGGGTGAGGAGGTTTTTAGCTAATTTACTGCTCAGGATCGTAAATGTCGTAAGTTAATTTAGTGTATATTGTAATGAGTGGTCGATCTACCTGTTTTTCTCTAAAATTGCACAAAACAAGCAATTTCAGCACGGTAGGTAAATTTTCATAATTTTAGTGGAATCTACAGCGTTACCAATCATTCAGTATAAACATAGGACCTGGAATTACTGCGTAATGGTCCAAGTTGCCGCACGTCCTATCAGCTAGTCTGCAACATTTATGTCAACTCTGTGGTATATCACGTCGTTGATCATTACCTGTTTCTGGTAATACGACTCAAAATGTTTGTTGATCGATAACCAGTAATCTAAACATTTAACCAACAATCCTGCATCGTAGCTTTATAGGATTAAAACTTGGACACTGTGGTAGATAGCAATTCCATTTTAGTCTGTTTTTTAGATGTTATCACGCATCGAAATAGTATTTACTGGATAACGTTTCAAACATAATCTATTGTTCATATTCATATGAGATATGATCTCCATACCATTCATACTTACTATGAATATGGGCAATACATTATGTCCGAAACGTTATCAGTAAATAAAACTGTTTCACTGTGTGATAACTAATAAACAGACTAAAATGCATCATAGGGTCTCATTTAGCAACCCACCTCAACCATTCACTCAAAATATTTCAAACCGAAGATTGTATCAAAAAATTGCTTACTTTTGAAATTTCAGTTGATCAATTTGTTTCATACTTGAATTGATGCAATGACCATTATTATTCATCTCTACATTTATTCTGTAAGTGGAAATATTTCGCAGGTTTAATCTCACCTATTGGAACAATTACAAACTAGGTGTATGATTTTATTTTTGATTACAAAGGTTCTCGCTGATTGGGATGATGAACGCACACTAAAAGTGTTACATAAGTTGACGAATGTCTCGATATCTCAATTGCTTGACTTTATAAATGTATTTGTCAAAGAAGAATCATCGAATCGACGTGCTAATTATTTAATTTTACGAGCGTACTTCAAATGCCGGTAAGTTAACTGTTAACTGTATAAGTTATAATATTAATTAAGAAAAATTTGACGTACAACTCTGTGGGTCTTGAAGCTCGATTTTCAATTTCACTCTACGCGGGACTTTTATGACAGAAGTGACACTTTCCAACTCATTTATGCCGGTAATGGATATATGAGTCTAAAAGTAACCTTCTTTCTACATAATTCAAGAAATAATTATTGTGTTAAACGCTCCTGAAACACAGTATGACAAAGACAAAAGTAAATTTGAATGAAGTAGGTTAGGACGAAAGTGAAAAGCTAAATCAGTTTATTTGCATGTGTTGATTGTTTGATAATTCATTATGGCCTCATTACTATTCTGACTAATATATATATATATATATATATATATATATATATATATATATATATATATATATATATATTCATAACAATGTTTCCATGGTTCATGTTAATTTTCTTTGTTAGAGTGGGTTGTAATCTATCGTGTTTTAGTTGACTGCTATGATGTTTCAGCCACTTATATGTTTGTTTGGAATTCATGAATTTTAAGAAATCACCGTTGCACCTGTTGAAGTTAGCTCGGGTTGATGACAGTTAATTGTTTCTTCATTTCTTGTAACTTCACTGTAATTATTTCTTTCACTTATGTTGCATTTTTCGTACTTTTCCAATCATTTTGATTAGCTTCTTAATGTTCAGCTGATATGATCAGAGCTATAGCTCTTTTACCTTGGTAAAAATGTTTTGAGTATGCTAGCTTACCATAAGTGGTATTTTCAAATCTTGCAAATATTCTTATTGGCACAACCCAATATTTTCAGTATTTCGGCAATATGACACGGAGTCGATGATATTAGCACAAATTTATCTACTCCTTATCCTCTTTAATATTTTGAGAATCTTACTACCAAGTACTTTTCTTCCGTTTGTGTCCTTTGCTTCGTGTTACAATACCATTTTACTTTATTTATTCTTTCTGGGCAGTGATTAGAGGCCATACAGCGCAAATAAGGTATTGACGCACTTTAAGGTCACTTGGTTAGTAGGCTATTGATGGAGAAACATCTGCGTTCATTTTTGAGGTCGTTTTGAAAAAAAACGATAATAGCGTAAATCCATATTTATTTTATTCTGCCAGAAATGACCAACTGTCTGATTGCAGTTTCTGTGCATTTTGTGGTTTCTGAAGAACCTGAAAGCTAGAAAGGCTGAAAGTTTCATTAACTAGTTTGAATAAGGTAAGTACTAAGTACTGCAGTGATCTACAAACCCGTTATACTTCTATGATTTTAGGAGGTATGCACACTTTATATTGCTTTAGTTAGTTGCAAAGATCAAAGTAAACCCTATCTGAACTATTAGTTGGCCACGTACCTGTGCACATTTGGTCAAAAGAGAAGTATTCAGATCAAGCTTTATCTGCTACTTCTCTAATCGGATGGATGTAATGTATTTCAGCGTGCATCAGTAAACTACTTTGTATTATGATTTTCTGGAATTCTTATTCATTTGATCTCACGGTAGAAATAAAGATTTCTTGAAGAATTTCTTTGTTTTAGTTATTTGTTACCTATGGTTTAAGATTAGGAAACTATATAACGTTCGGTTTCTGGAGACATGAAAGAGCTAGTTGCATAGAGAATATGTCGGATACCTTCAAATTTACTGTCGAATACAATTACGAAGGTGACATACATTATGGACAGCTGACCTGCAGAAATAACGCTCGGGGGGAACAATGCATCCTAATATACGAATCTTTTTGTCTTCCCTTCGTCATTTCGAAATCAAACTACCAGCGGACCTTAACAAGCGAGTAAACAGATGCTGTCATGGAGATTTTAACTTATCTTAAGTATATTAACTTAAACATACAGATAAGTTTGTCGCCTAAGATGTCCTACATAAGAGATATGTGCATACTTGTAATTTATTGTACTAAATAATTTTCTCATTTTCTATTCCGTAATATAAACCTCTAAATTGTGTACTTCCATTTTTATCTCATCCTTTGGGAATTTAATTAAATTATCTAACTTTGCTTCATGGGATATCCATTTCGCATAGACGGTTACTGCCCGAGATCATGAGTGCTTCTAGCTCAGATCATTGTTTTCATACTACGTGTTTATCCATGTAAAACTAGAATCACGTATAAAATAAACGAAGACATGGAGGAAATTAATCATTTTGGCACATAACCGTAAATATATATCACCAAGTTTGCAGTGGTCATTCCACATATATGTTCTTCAGTCATCGCCTGTGCACTGCTCATCCACCTGAAATAAAATATGAAATTCTTTAGTAATGAATAGCTGACATTTCGAAAAGTAATTTTGTGTTGGGATATTAACTTACACCGAACCATAGCACCTATCTGCCTGTATATGAACATGCAATGATTTCAATCTACATCCAACTTCCTCTTAGGGTGTTGCTCTACTGACCATTTATGAAGCAGAATACGTTTACTAGAGCATCAAGAAGGACAAATAAGAGATCTGAATAAATAAACGCATTAAAAACAACTTAGTTCTTAATAAAACTCCATGTCACTTGAGTTGCATGGAATTAAGAAGTCCCTACAGAGTTTTACCATAAATTAAATATTTATTTTATGTGGATCAATTATTAATGACCATCTTAGCTTCAAATTCCTGAATTTTACATATTATTTGGTTATTTTGCAGCGCTAAACGGAATAATAAACATTTCAAACATTTTCGCATGGAAAACCGTTTATCACACTTAAATTTCAAAATTTTGCCATTTTTAGCACTTTTTTCCACATCTAAGCAACATGGATGCCACCAAATAAGCAATACATGTAATACTTCAATCAAATGAAACCAGCTGATCAACTGATTATGGCCTTTATCAAATCCCTTCTTTTTGACTTCTTCCTGAATTGAGTATGATACTTTGAAAAGGCATATTAGTCTCACTTTATGTATCCTTCTATTGTTTTACATTTTTAAAGATGTAGCTACTAAAAGTTTAAGTGCAAAACTTCATCTTTATTTGATTGCTTGATACTATTCAGATATCTTGATTGGTAATAATTCTTTTGATATTGTACAATTTACTATTGTTTTACATCTTTGGATCGGATTCGTATCGTTATTCTTCGAATCACGCTTGATGATTGAGTTTCTATTTTTACTAAATGATATACTACACTCAGTTATAGTTCAGTTACCCCTTGAGGTGTATTCTGTTTTTTTAATTTCATGTCGGTTAGTTTACTACCCTAACTTTCTTTTAAATTAAAGACCAAAGGTTATAGCTGTTGAATTTAGTTTCGGTTTAGAGAGGTGTGTTTCATATAAGAGCTTACTGTCATTGTATCCTAAAACTTACTGGTGATTCTGCTTGTCCTTACATTGTAAGCTCACCATCTATAAAGCTTTTTTGATTCGCTTACTGTGGAGTATAAACGAAATCATAAAGCACTCTTGTTAGAAGGTATTGAGAGGTATCTTCTGAATATTTTTGCCATTTATGAATATTTTAAAAAAGAATCTACTCACTAACTAAATTGTTGTTTAGGAATCATTTTCAAAACTATCATCCATTTCATTTTCTTCTACGGGTACGTGATGAATCCTTTGATAAAAACGAAGTCTTGTTTTTCTCAATGCTTTTCTGGGAAACTACATTTTGATTGATTTCACATGAAACTTTATGTTGTACTGTTTAAAATGTCATCTTTTGTTACATGACCCTTCTGGTTCATGTTTCTGCCTAAATCTTTTTGATAAGAATGTACTGGCTGATTTTAAAATGAATGGTTACTTCTGAAGTTTCCCAGTTGTTATTGTAGATAATTAGCGTAATAATAGTTTATTTTTAAGCTACACTTCACACATGCTACATATTCAGTAGGTAAATTAGCCTACTTTGATGTTCTGTCCACTATTTGCGCATCGTTTCACCATTTAAAACAAAGTAACTATACTCCAAATTGGAATCTATTTATTAGTATCACGTACATGTATTTACATGTTAAAAAATATATTTTTGATTCGTCCGGTGAGTCTTACCATAACCAAAGATTAGCTAAAATAAGTGACAACCATGTAAAGAATATTGACATTGGGGTGAAATGCAATCATTTTATTTCGACATCACTTCCCAAATGCTGGTTACATCTCTCATCCCCGTTGAATTCAGTCGCTATTTATACAAACAATCCTTAATAATTGCTAAATTGAGATGAGCTTGGTGTATAGTTTTCGCATCTTCACAATTGCAGTTGTTTGTAGAACGCCTTTCTGAACTCCTAGTATTCTGCCCTACGCCGAACAAAGCCACTATCAAGTTACTAAACTCAAAATTTCCCCATCATTAAGCTTTATCATCCTTAAACATGAGCATTTATCAATTTGGTTTCAGACATCTTTAAAGGTTTTATGTAAATTGAATACGATGTGTGATTACTGTTCATCATTGTTTTCACTTGGGAACTGATATTCATTTGTGAAACTATTATTAGTATTTAATTCCTTACATTTCTACTGGCTAATTCATTAATTTACCAAATGTTTTAGAAAAATGTTTTCTGGTCATTTTGAAAGAAAAGCTTTGGAAGAATCTACCCCGGATGCTTCAGATAATGACGATGAAGCGGCGACTATCTCTAATAACTGGAAAGAATTTCTAAAAATTGTTGTGCAGAAGTGACGGAATTATATATCAGTTTGTTGATTCGCTTTGGGTGTGCTTCATCTTCTGATGCGTTGTTAACTTTCTTGGAATCATTTGACAATTATCGGATAGATCTTATCCTCAAGGTATGTTCACTACATACTTTTATTATTGAACACAAACTTTCACGGTTATATTTCTTATTTCGTTCTTTCATCTCAGTCTACTTCTCATATTCAAAAAGCTTCATAAATCCTGCTGAGAGTATTATTAGATTTACTGCCGTAGTGGAGGTTAGACAGTGTAATTTATCACCTATGAAACACTGTTGTTGTGCCTATAATACACATTCATTCATACTTCCACCTTGTGTATTAAAAACAATTCAGATTACTCCATCTCGGTGCCTTAAGGGCCTTTCCCCACATTTTTGTGCGCTATTTCGGATCACTTATGGAGTTAAGGACTTCGACTTTCGTCGGAGGGCTTGTGTTCACTAGTAATTCTGCGGTTGCCGCTGGTATTTCTGGACGAATCGCAGGTGATGGTCGATTCAAGAGTTTTTAGAAGTAGTCGGCCCATCGTTTCCTTTGTTTCTCCTATTTGGTAACTAAGTTTCCTTCACTATCTCTCATTGGTTTCATCTGAGTTGATCTCTTCCCAGATAGTAGCCTGGTTATTTGATATAGTGTTGTCAGGTCTGTGTCTCTCCTATGAGCAGCCTGTTCTGTTTCACTTGTCGGTGTGTTGTAGTAGTGTCTTTTGTCTTTGCTCGCAATCTTCTTCACTTTGTCCAATGTAGTGTTTTATAGGTTGTGTTCAGTTCCTGTTTTCTCTGTTCATCCCTGCACTGCACTGCAGTGGTTCATCTTCTGCTTCACCATCACAATCATACAATGCTACGCACCTACAAATAATGCATATAAAGAGAAGAAGCAGGAATTCTACAGACAGCTACAATCAATAATAGACAGTATTTGGATTTCGCCGATGATGATTTATGTCTAATGCTTTGTCGCACAAACTCGAATATCTACAGGCAAAAACTAGCAAGTAAGCAAAAGAGGCGGGGCAGTGAAGATGCGACTCCAGATGAACGTAGAGAAAACAGATGTGATGAAGATACACAACCAACAACAATCACCATTAACAGTCGAAACCTAAAGGAAGAAGTCTCTTTCACCTACCTAGGCAAGGCAGCATCGTTTCAACTACGGGTGGCGGCACAGATGAAGATGTCAAAGCCAGGATAGGAAAAGTAAGACAGGTCTTCACCAACTTGAAGTCAGTGTGGGGATCTGCTGCAGTGCAGTGCACTCAGCATAAAGTGTGAACAAGATTCGGATTTTCAACACCAAAGTCAAGTCAGTGCTTCTATGTGATGGTTCAGAGAATTGGCGCGTCACGCAAAGCATTTCCACCAAACTCCAGAAATACATCGACAGCTGCCGCCTATGCTCACTCGATACTAAAGATCAGATGAATGGCCAGAAAGAATAAGCAACAAGGAACTCTGGGAACGAACCAACCGAGAACCTATCACTCGACAAATAGACAGAAGGAAGTGGAAATGGATTGGGCATACACTGAGAAGACCGACTAGGGACATCAAGCGCCAGGTCCTCGAGTGGAATCCAAAGGGAAAACGACGAGTTGGGCGTCCGAGGTGAGGGTGACATGGAGGAGATTGTGTGAGGAAGAAACGAAAGCTTGTAGGCAGTCGTGGAGCCAGGTTCAATGACTGCAGAGAACAGTGCAATGGAGACACTACTGAAGCTGTATGTTCCACTAGGAACCCAAGGGACATATATATATATATATATATATATATATATATATATATATATATATATATATATATATATGCTTGGCTGAAAGGTAGAACTACTGTACTTATTCAGGACTCATCATTTAGTTTCATACCATTATCATGTACCGGCAAGGTGATCTAATTTGTCTCCATTCCCTATTTAAACATGCGATAACTCTCGCAGGTTTGATTCTCTAAAGAAACAGCTTCTAAGAGATGTTGAAAAAAATTTTTACCTCATTGTGAGTCAACAAATATATCTCCTTGATAAACTCATTGGTTATAAATCTTACTTTCTTGGATACTTAGAAACGAAGTGATCGAGGATTTTGACTTCCCCTTTGAATGACTGTCATTAAATATAGATACGCCGGATTCCCTTTATATGGTTGGTTTTGCTCTTTAATTTCTTCTTGACACTACTCTTTACCTTACCGTTAGGCATATGAACTGTTTCTACGATTCGTTTCCTAGCATTGTATAACCCTACAGAATCGTTTTCTTCTTCACTACTCATTAGGATTGTTGATTTTTGCTTATCACGTGCGTAAGCAGTTAACTGACAATTGTCGTGAGACGTTTAAATGACTTATTAAATGCGAATACTATTTTGAAACCGCATGTTACTGATATTTTATCATACTTTTTATACACACGTCTTACAAATGGTCGAGTTCAACATGGTGTAGTACATGATGCATATTGTTATTCCATGGTTGAATGCTTTTAGATGAAACACTCAGATTGTTCATCCGTCCTATCCTCTTTAAGCAAACTGAAGCCGAATGCACACTATTTCTAGCACAGGTGAAGTTTGCATGGACATTTTTTACTCGTCAGTAGGATAATAGAGTGGTGCTGTAGTTATATTTGTCAATATTCTGACATTAATCAACGTAAAACAACAAGTAACTTTATTTTCAACGGTATGATGTCGTTTCCCTCATGATTTGATTCCTCTCTTTGGTCAGATTAATAATATAGTAAGCCTCAAATATATAGTTATTAAATTTACTGATACTTAGTAGTCTTTATAAGTTCACAGGTATGGGCGTCATACCAGTCTTGTAGTGCTTAAACTTCGACATCATTTGTTCCTCTGTTTTTTGGAAAATTTACCAGGTTTTTCAGCTACACGCTCAGGCATACATTCTAAGTGATTTTGTTAATCGCTATGGACAATATTTTTGTATGTCCTTCTTGCTTAAAATAAAAATGAGGTTTGACTTTAAAAATTGTTTAGATTAAAACAGTTGCCTCTTTCCCACCTAGTAATACTTTTCCTATCGGAATGGATGTAATTGTTTCGCTTTCTACTTAGCTTAAACTTGATTGCTGCTCTTAATTTTAACTTTGTCTATTATTCTTCTTCTTTATGCCTTACAGAGTATGTTTCAATAATCACATGCTTTGAGAATATTTAAGTTACATTGATATCAGTGTTGTGGTGAAACATCTGAAAAACATTTCCACAGAAAAATATTTATTTCTATAAATGTGCATATATTCTTTTCTATAGGCTATTCGTTTATTTTTATCAGGTTATATCAGTGGAAAATTATCCTCGTGAAGTTGCTTACCTGTATGAAAAGTCCGGAAACTTGTCCAAGGCCACTGAGTTATATGAACAGGTTTGAGATTCTTTCTGTTTACTGGTTTTCATACATTTTTTTAGAATCAAAAGTCTTTCAAAGCTAGTTGCAGTAGGCATTATTATGTAGCTCATTATTGCAGTATTCATCATTTAAATTTGTCTGTATAACTCTCAAAATGTAGTGTTATTTGTGCATTTTCAAATACTACTATGGGATTTTTTTTTGAGGAGTGAAACTTTTTCAAAATCAGTTGTTTTAACATACTTATTTCTCTCTCAAAACAGATTTTGTGAATGAAATCTTTGTCCAAGTTATTCTGTATTATTATGGTGCACTAGATGTATATTCTTTTTGTAAAAGACTACCGTTATTTATGTGTGTTTGGATTGATTACCTCGAAAATCTGTTTGTTTTAGGTTTCCTGATTAACACAGAAGTTAGTCTTGTATCAGTACTTGGTTTACATGCGCACCAGCAATGAAATTGACTCCAAATATAGTGACACGTGCTTGGGTCATTTCCGATGTCCAAAGACATTCATTTATGAGAATGCATATTTATAGACTGACTTTTTATCACCTTTAAATTGAGTATATACTTTTTTCTGTTTTTCTACTGTGTCTGCTATTTGAGTGTAACCCATACAGTTATGTATCTAAGCTTTACCATGTTCGTGAATACACTTTGCAAATGTATTATTTTGTGACAATTGAATAATTATTTGGAACTTCCTTAGCCTAATCCAACTAAAATCATTTGAGACTTTTTGTAGGAATTAGCCGGTAACTGAAATCGTAACATTATGTTTCTGTGGTTTACTTCGCTGGGAGCAGATAACATCCAAACCTAATACTTTTCACTTTAATAGGTCATCGGCTGACATGCATAACGGTCCTACATGAATTAAGTCCTTAAGTGTGATGTGTGCATTAAACGATGTATGAAAGTTGAGTTTACCAGTTGCTCACAGACTTTCCCCACTACAGTTCTATCGCATCGTAAAGTTGTAACAGAAATTGTTTCTTACTGACATTCTTAGTGGAATGGTGTTTAACATTCAAAGACTTCAACGCCTACTATTTCACAAATCATATACAACGCTATGATATGTATAATGAATAAATTCATAATGTTACACTTTCAAATGCAATTTGTAGGTTTTTTCTGAAGCTTGGCAAAAATTAATAAGAGCAGAATGTGAATTTGCTAACAATCTGTAAATACCACTTCAGCTAATCATCATAAATTTGGTAACTCAATAACAGTTGAATGTAATTTACTGCTACAAAAGCTTTATACCGATGTTCAACAAGCAAATCGGCGTCTTTTGAATTTCTGCCAACGAAGATGTGCGCAATCTAAGGACCAGTCGGAAATTGAAGTGAGTTCAGGCATTCTAGTCATGGAATTTTTTGCTACTATTTTATTCAAGTTAATTCACTTCGTTGATACGATCTGCACTATCACATAACTGTCCAAATTGCCACATTTCACATCAGCCCATCAAGATACAAAGCAAGAAAATGAAAGAAATCGTAGTCATTAGAACAGAGCAGGTGATACAATGACGAAATTCTGTGTAGCGATTATGTTGAGGCATTGACTCTAATAAAATTGATTCTGAGCTTTATTACGTAGAAGCTTCAATTGCCGATTCCTGTTGTCATGCGGACCCCAATCAGGCAGTCTACGTTTCCTTACACGGCTCATACCAACAATCCAAGATCTCATGGACCTGATGCTGTGTTTTGGTCTCACCACCCTTAACGTTTTTCCTACCTAGACTTCAGCCAACAATATGCAATGGGACAGATGGTGATTAAGAATGTGTAACACATGTCCCAGTCTGCTCGGCTGTTGAAGCTCCAACCTTATCTACTAACTTATATGTGTTGCTAACAATTGTTGATTCATAAAATTAGATTGAGGTTACCAATATTCTGATGAAAGCAAACCCTAGTAAATCAGAATAATTGAACTCTCTATGGTTGGGTGAATTAGCGAAACGTTGCTCTTGGCTTTTTGTAAACAATTCACAGTTTACTCTTAACCGTACTAACTCATCATGACTCAAAACTACTGAGTAAAATCATGTATGACCGGTCATTTTTACAAATTACTGATTAACCTTCATACTTATACCAAGTTATACTTATCATTACGTATTGTTTTCAGCTTTCATCTCCGAAGTTTGGGAAACGATGCGGTGTGTTGCACTCCGTATATTAATTCGGCAACGAAGCAATTAAATATCCCTGTAATACCCAGGAGCTTTTGTAAATTTTTAACTGGTTTGACCCTTTTCGGCTCGTTGGATGTGATCAGCACTGAGTTGAAAATAGTTTTCATGCTTGTAAAGTGCAACTTAATACTTTCATAATGACCAAAAAATATGTCGACCTCTTATACTGTTGTAATGATCTTTAAAGCCAGTATTTCACGTTTTATAATTGCTGTTTTAAATTGTTCTCACCTTTTCAAACCCTTAATTTTTCTTAATTATTTTCGTCTTCTATTTTATAGGTTATATGGTTCAGCGTAATCGACTTACTCATGAAATGTGAATTTCTACAAAATCATCCAATGTTAAATGCTCAGTTGAGTGGTATATTCTATTATTCTTTCTCACTAGTTATGGCCATATTTACCACCAACTGTTATTGTATCACGAATCCTGAATGTGAGTGAACAGGTCACGGCTTATTCTTTCTATATTAATATAATTGAGAGAAATTATTCTCTTGACCCTTTATTCTAATTCGGGAAATCCCTTTGTGCGATTACGATCACATGAAGTTGAGTATTATCTGAATTTTCATCTGATAATGAGGACACTTGTTTGTTTACCACTTGTCTGTTCTTCTGTTTTCATTAGTAGAGCTTAATTTTCTGTCAATGTCTCAGGTGAAAACAAGTTGGTAGTCTTTTCTTCATTCGTGAATCTTATGTTTAGGCTACGACTTTGCGCTGTTTTTGAGGTAAATCTCAGTGTATTTATATTTTTCAAGGTTTTTACAGCTGGACGTTTCGTCCAGCCAACATTATTCTTCCGACATTTGACCTTTGTTTATTCTATGTTGCTCATACGAGGTTTCACCTAGATAGGAAACGGGTTGCAGTAGTCAACATTTTAGCTCTTATATCTCGTTGGGATAAGCACTCATATAGTTGTTGCAGATCGTGAAAATCGTTATCATCGCAACGAGACAGACCTCCAAAAATGCAGATTGGCCTTGTTATCTATTTTGCAGTTTTGTTTTAGCCCAGAAAATATATAGAGTCTGTTTCATTTGTTTTCATCCGCATCAGTACCTGAAACGCAAGAATTAAAGAATTTGGAAGACCAGTCGATTGATGGCCTTCAGTATAAGTCTGAAATCCTGTTACTTTTAGTCCTGGAATCCACAATTACATGTGAAACATTTGCTGATGATGGACCTAGCAGATGATTTTTAACAATAAGAGTGAAGTGTGATTGTTTTAGTTTTTTGACTTACCTTTCATATTTTCAGATGGATGGTACAGAAATAGCGATGAACTCAAAAATTAATTTGTTGGTGAAAAAGTTCATATCAGCCTGTCAGTTCGAGGCGAATCAAATGGCACTTAATAAGCGGCTAGCGGGACGAGAGCTAACTGTTATGCAGTTACAAATATTTAAGCAATACAAACGTGGTTTCAGTAACCGAAATCTTCTCTGTCCCCTCTGTGGATTGGACCTTCGAACAAACAACCTAGTAAATAGACGTAGTTGGAAGGTACCAAATGATGAAAACACTTCGGAGGTTAAGCAGGTAGTGGCATTTCAGTAAGTTACTATTTGTTACTTTTACTTAGCATGGTACATTAGTAGTGCATTGACTAAAAGCTAATTAAGTAACTGCTCAAAAAAAACAGTTTGTTTGCTATAATCACGTTAACTACACGAAAAAGTACCTACCTCTAAATTGTAATAAGTAGGAAGAACGTGAAAGGTTACTTTTAATACGTTATACAACTTTAACAGATCATTACTTTCTACAATGAATCAATTTCTTAGCATAAGATTCTGGCGCTAAACAAGTTGATTTCTTTGGTTATATATATGCAGGAGTCACTGCTACAGTATTTGCTCGATCGCTTTCAGAAGACTTGTGTTTCCCAAACTGCATATTGGGTTGAAGACTTATTCTTAGCACATCATTTTAGTCTGAATGTGCTGTTTTTCCCATCATAAAACACTCGTGAACGCTTTTCTTTATTCTGCAATTTCGCTCACTCAATAATTCGTCTGTAGCTGAAAAACTGTCTTTAGTTTCTCTCTCTCCATATATACAGGTTGTGTTGCGTTCTGAGCTGGGTGTTTTTCTGCCTTCGCTGCGAAATTGCTAACACACTGCTGTAAACAATACTAGTGCTCAACAACAGAAAGCACTGATTCTCACTGTTGTATATGACTGATCTTTCAAATATATGTTGTAAGATTGTAGGCAGCTATATCTTACAAAATAACCGCATGTCTCAAGAATAAAATTCTAATCTTAGCAGATAAGTGAATATACTAATGAAGTATTGGCGAGACGAAACTACAAGTAATTCAGATGCTTTATCAAATACACTATCTGATAACCAAGGTTTTGATGTTTGATTGATTGAAATACCATTGGGTGTTAATGGTTCAAACCTCCCGGAGGAAGTAAGGTGATCCCAGCTAATCGCTGTTGTTATGTTTAATGTCTACCCGCCACATGTTGGTTGCAGTACTGCACAGAGACGTCCACAGAAGTAATTTGATAAGTCCTATTTTTTTCTTATCAGTACTTGCACTATAGTGAGGTTTATCACAATGCTCTTTTTTGTTCGATTTCTTGTATATTTCACCACCTACTGCTGGTGCCTAAGTTTATTTTAAAAAGGATCAGTTATTCATTCTCCTCACTATATTTTGTATTTTAACTGAAAGCTTTCTCTACTGCAGAATCGTTAATAAACTATATAGTTATAGTTACTTCTGATTACCTAACTAAATTTTTGATGTCTGACTTCCAAAACAAACTTTTACTTTGAATTTCTAGTTGTCATCATGCGTTTCATGAAAGGTGTCTCAAGAATCGTCTACATAGCGGCAAAACACATGTGACTAGCGCTCAGTCTTCGTCATGTTCAATTTGTCGACCTGCAAATGCAAATGGTTACTGTGATAACGCGATTATGCCACAGTCAGATGAAATACAAATCGACGATCCTCCCGTCGCATCATTTGAAAAGAATCCAAACAGCCTACTATTTTAGGTAGTCACATTGATTCGTTTATTCTTTGTTTACTTCTGTTTGTTACGAAGGCTTGTCTTACTGTAAAAGTTCTGTGCTGAACTTTATTTGATATTACTATAAAACAGATAAGTCCGTACATGGATATGGTGTTACGTTTATTATCCTTCCTAAAACTCCACAGTGTTTAGGGAATTGTCCCAATCAATTTGGCCACCTGTGAAATCATTTTACGCGCTTTTTTTACTTTTGTTCTAAATTGCGAAAAACACCTTTATTTAGTCCTCTCGTAGAGGTTTTGTCGAATAACAGCTTAATGTAACCCAAACGATTTCAGAAAAAACGGCAAATCAACAATGTAATGACTTGCAAACTGTGTATGAACTATCGACTTCATCCATTTATTTTCAGGGACTTGAGTCACTGCTACATGAATTTTAATAACATGTCATGAAGTCAATCCTGAATCCAAAATGTTAAGTTGTCATATCATTTCTGGCTTTATTGTTGCTTATCTGAAATAAATGGACTATTTTAAGATCAGACTGTATAATTAAAGTTTTCGTAGATGTGTAAGATTTCTGACTTTGTACTGACTTCCTTTTCACGTAGTTACCACCTGCATCTTCATGGGAAGCACACAGACTTCGTTACTTAACTTTGTGAAAATGGTAAATAGCACTAGTGTTACAAAATAAAAGAAACTCAGCCAATTCCACAAATAAGTAGTTTTCCAGTAGTCATTCGGTCTGTCACTTATTTTTATACAACAGTTGTCCTCAAACAACACACTAGTATGAAAACACTTATTTATTTGATTGTTAATATTTCTTAATATTTCAGACCCAAACTACTCTACACATAATTCACGTAAAGCTACATAAATGGTTACAAACTGTCTTTTAAAAAGACAAGATTGCAAGTTACCAATACTCACTCTAGAAAAGTGATATGTAGCTATGCAACAGTACCTGTGATAAATCTTTTGAAAATCTTCGATAAGCTTCTGTACGAACCATGAGTTTTACAATGTTGATTTGTGATTTCTATACATGTTTGTATAATATTACTTCTTGTATATGCAGATTGTGATTTACAAAATAATACTGCTTGAGAACTCTTACATATCCTTTTTTTATTAGCGACAAATGACCATCGTTTATCCCGTGTACTATTCACTAATCCGCTTCTTCCGGAGTCTAAGATAGAGCATCCGATTCATCAACTACGTACGTTTACGTGTAGCTAAAAAGAGTTCACATTTATTGTTGGAGAGCTAACTGGTACCAACTGGTTGTCGAAACCTTAATAAACGCATAAGGATCGGAACACCTAAACTGTGGCTGCAGAAAAAACTTCTCAGCGTAAAAAGCGTGCAGACACTTCACTATTAACCGCGTGTTAACCACACCAACTCAGCTCAAACGTTAATACCATAAACTCAATGCAACAAAAGCTAGGCTGCATGATCTTTCATAGTCACTGAGTCTGTGATTAAGCATGCCATAAAGAAAGCTAACGTTACTGGCTATATGAAGTCAGCGATAAAAGCTATTTTCATATGTAGAGATGTCATTATTGTGTTTATGAAATGTCTAGCTTGTAGACAAGGCTAGCAATATACCAGTCACTTCACTTGAGTACGATGAAGATAAGAAACCTTGAGAAATGCAGCTTTTTCTCAGTTGACGCGACTTCATGTTTTTAAATATATATAAGAGAGCATTACTCCTTTATCTAATATCAAATAAATTTAGCATCCATGAGGAATTGAAGTATTCTGTTTTATGAACGTATATCCTTGAATCGATCTAAAAAGCATTTCGCACTCGGATACTACTTCCCCTTAGTTGCCAACGTTCACTGCATCAGCTGATTGCATGAGAAAAACGACATTAATGTATCATAACAAACGAATTGCTCCTCTCTAATACTTTTACCACTATTAAGGACAACTCGTTCAGTTGAACATATGCACAAAACTCCATACACCGGAACTTAAACAGCGATATGCACATATCAAGACAGATCAGCGTAAGACGTTTTTTTTTTGTAGTTATCTCAAATGCACCAAACACTCCAGCGATAAGAACTATTGGTGTTTTGTACACACACTACGATGATCTCACTAAGCAGTAGTTTTTGATGTTATTATTTGGGAAATGGGTTTATCAGAGTGATACGGTGGTCTTGTTTCATAAAAGCAATTTAAACGTGATTGAACATTAAGTCCACGTGGATTAATTCTGGCACGAAAAGGTCAGACTAAGAGATCTGCATCAAATTTGCGTCACATTGGCTTTCCTAAGCATCTTCCTTTCCATCTTTGTATCGAATACACTTACAGAGATGAGTACACTACATAACATTTATCCCCTACTCAACTTAAAGGGGTGTTCCATCGGCAACAGAATAATAATTATGACGAGCCAGACAATCCGGTGAGATAGAATTTCATGTGCTGCAATTATTTTCATCTACTAGTGACATTATCGAATTCCTTATAAGTCAACCTGTGACGTCATCGATTGAGACTTCACCTTGGTATATTGATAATAATAATTGTAACTGTACTTGAGTACTAAGTTAGTGTCTGCGGCACATTTTGCAAGTTCAGCTTATGTTCCACCCACTCTCATCCACTAAGTGTAGCAGCCTTACGTATGTGCTCTTGTAAGGCTAGAGCTTATAAGGTTTTCATGCAGTGAGCTGCAGGTTTATAATCAGTTCTCACACAATGGCTTTACACCAACTCGTACGTAATTGGATCGCACATTTGTGCGTGATCTAATGATGCGCTTTGGTTAGAGAGACTTTATTTCTTCGCCAAAACCGTTTATGTGGTTATGCAGCTATAAAAGGCTGTAGCAAAAATCTTCCTGATGAAGTGAGATAGATTCTGTGACTAGTCAGTTTTGTTGACATTTTCTACTTCTTTGCCGATAAAAATCTGATTGGAAGATTTCTTGACAACCGTTCTCCACATAGAACGTGTGCCAGTACATTTTTTCTGGAAAACGACGAGTTTTCCTATAAGAAATATGCAAGAAAACTGCATATAGGGCTGCAGAATGAACTAGGATGGCAAGATTCAAACCAGCGAACCCCAGTGATCTGTTTCTCTAATAAGGCGAGGAACCCAAGAACTGTAGCATTTTAATTTGTTGAGGTAATTTTAGAAAATGGATTATATCAAACATAAGGTAACTTAGCATACTTGCCAGGTGCTATATACTTCGTATAAAAACAAACATTTACTAAACGTGGTCAGTTTTTCAATAAATTTTTGTGAACACACCAATTGATCACCCCATACCACTATCCAATAAGCATTCTGAACACCCACATATCGGTCATTTTCAGTTACTAGAGTCCTAGATACTAAATATAGGTTTTGGTTTGTATAAAATATCACACATGGAATTTTAACAGAGGAGTGACTGTTCACAGACGCCATAAAGTGATATAAAAGTGCAAATATATTAAAATTCTGCGTATAGATCGGATTTTAAACATACTACTAGTAACGATGTTTACGAGTAATTCTTCGTCCTTATTATGACCGAAAACACTGAAAAAAATTGCAAGCCAAAATGTATTCACGGGAAGTTACAATCTTGTCATTTGCATCACATATCTTACTGCTCCAGATTTAATTACTTCGCAGACAATGGTTTGAAAAATAGCTCGGTTCTGAACATAATCTAACCAGTCAAACATGTTACCTCCGGGTCCATAGGAAGCCTTACAAGATAACAGTATGACACCATCCTGACTTAAAGTAGTTTCGATCACATCATGTAGTCTTTCATATAGGTCTGAGCGGTAGATTGTTTCACTAGTAAATATATAGTCGAATTTTAAGTTAACACCAGACTGCCAAAAAGAAGACAAACTGGACCAATCTCCACTGAAAAACTCCAAACTTGTTGCTGCTTTTGGCCTGTCAACACCGTCAGGTGATTGTAAATTCACGATAACGTTAGGAATTGTCCACTGCTTCAGAACTTCGGAGTTATAATCCTGAATAATGTAATGGAGAAATAGGTTAAAACATATGACAGGATTAAATTTTGGATTAGGATAAGGAGATACGATCTACTTGGTGGTATAAAAACTAGTACTGTCATCAACTAATTATAGGGGTGAAGTTAAGGTATAGTGACAACAGACGCCGAAGTGACCTTTAACAATAAATGATATCGTAAGAACATTTGAAAGGAATTTCAGGGGTATAAAGTGCGTACGGTAATATAGAAAATGATTAAACAGGAAAAACTTAAGGCACGTTTTGTAAAAATCTGTTCGAACTTTCCACTGATGCCCATGGAGAAGTTACACCAACTTCACATCGCTCGTATGACTAGATTATTTTAACATGGAAGATTAAAATTGAGAAGTACTAAAGAATACATCCACGTAATAGTGAGAAACAGTCCCAGAAAGTATTTTTCACTCAAGGCTGTCAGACAATTCGCTAAATGAATGGGAACTCAGGATCGTTAATACGCTATTTGGTTGTGGCCGCTATTCTTCGACTCCGCTCTGAAGATAAGTGTTTACTTCATAGTACGAAACGTCGATTAAGGGAATCTTTAAGCCTTGGATAATGAAGAGACATTTTCAATCATTTCTGCCATGCAATTCACCGTGACTTAGTATACTTTATCCAGTTGATAGCTTGTTCGCTACAAATGTTGGTTTCTTGGCTAAATTTCATAAAATACTGCACTCTAATTAAGCACCGATATATCTTTTATTTACATACCTGAAATCTAACTAAGCGAGCCCTCGCCTTGATAGCCAGAATGCCAGGTAGTCCACAGCCACAACCCAATTCCAATACGTTTTTGCCATACAGTTTTTCCATCAAGTGTTTCGATATGTAATGAACGAGATCTTTGCTACCGTCCCATAAGGTGAACCCACCTTCGATTAGTCCGGGCTTGACATCTTCATGTGCTTGAACAGAATCGAACACACTGGATTTTTCGTCACCTTGACCATGGGTAAGTTTGCGTAGATAATCTTCGAGGGCGTTCTCATCAACATACTGTAATCCTACAACAATACTCACTTTTGATAATACTTAATAAATCTGTTGGAACTAATCTTAAACATTTTGATAGATACTTTAGTGAGTAAAAGTAACAACCATCGAAAATTATGTGCTTTTATGATTGAAGTTATAGATATAGAATCAAAGCTCAAGTACCATCCATGAGTCGTTTTACCATACACTGTAATTAGTCTTCTCTCAGCTGTAGAAGTCTGGGAAACCTCTGTGAACTCCTAATAAATGCATTCTTTAATTCTTACCTTTATATACCACAAAATGCAGTCCAAATGGATCACGAATAAGTTTGATCGCAGCTTTCCCAGCCAGTTGGTAATTCCGTATCAACATGTGTTCCGGAATTACTGTGTGATGGTTCAAGTTGCTGCGCTTCACACCAACAAAGTGGAAATTCGAGAACGGAGGCGTCACAAGAGGGTATAAAACAGTAAGGAAATGCGACTTAAGGATTAGTATCACAACAAAGTGAAGACCCACATGAGCCACTGAAATTGATTCTGAGCTATATCACCTGAGGTAACTTTCTCAGTTTTGTGTAAACAGAAGTTCAGCAGCAAATTACTCGTAGTGAGTGGTTTTAACAAATGGTTGGGTAGACTATCTATTTCATATAGGCTAAAAAGACGAGACTACTAACATAACCTATGGAATGCAAATCCAGCAAATTTGTGATATCTCGTTTCATCTACGAATTACCAGTACCTTGTCTTGCTACGACTTCAAACACAAAGTTAAGAACATTTAGTATCGTCTGGTAGCTTGTGTGGAGCGAAATAAATGAAACACAAGTGAACAACCACATACATGGTCCCAGATACAGCTTTCAATCATACCTATCTTACGAATTCTGCTGATACAATTCTGAGCAAATGGATAAAAGTTCGGGTTTGCAACTTTGTTCAAGTATCAGCATCTAGGCCAATGAAAATCAGAAACAGTATATATGTTGTAACATTTCTCACGTAACTCATTATATAATCCTTACGAGTAACGGGTATTAAAGTGCGCAGTTTCTTAATTCCCTCTGTTTGACTGCCTGTGGTTGCCTCAACATTCGTTATTGTCTGTTTAAAGTTATGAGCTGACACTCAGTAATGTCGAAATTGTCATTTTCACCGTTTGTTTAAATGTAGCTTACACGTTTTTTTGCTTTTGAATCACCTTGAATGTAAGTGAACTAATTATTATTAAATATTATTTTTTTATTATTAGTCCCTTGGGTTCCTAGTGGAACATAGGGCTTCAGTAGCACGCCTCCAGTGACCTCTGTTCTCTGAGATCTTTTGAACCTGGTTCCACGACAGCCCAGAAGCTCTCATTTCCTCCTCGCATGACCTCCTCCATGTCACCCTCGGACGTCCAACTCGTCGCTTCCCATGGGGATTCCACTCGAGGGCCTGACGCGTGATGTCCTCAGTCGGCCTTCTCAGTGCATGGCCAATCCATCTCCACTTCCTCCTGCATATTTGTTGCGTGATAGCTTCTTGGTTGGTTCGTTCCCAGAGTTCCTTGTTGCTTATTTTTTCTGGCCATCTGATCTTCAGCAGCGAGCGTAAGCAGTTGTTGATGAATGTCTGTAGTTTATTGGAAATGCCTTTCGTGACGCGCCAAGTCTCTGAGCCATACAAGAGCACTGACTTGACGTTGGTGTTGAAAATCCGTATCTTGTTCCAGATGCTGAGTGCAGAAGATCTCCACACTGGTTTCAGGCTAATGAACGCCTGTCTTGCTTTTCCGATTCTGACTTTGACGTCCTCGTCCGTCCCGCCTGTAGTTGAAACAATGCTTCCTAGATAAGTGAAGGAGGTTACTTCCTTCAAGTTTCTCCCGTTGACGGTGATTGGAGTTTGTTGTTGTTGTTGTTGATGGTGGTGGTGCGGTATCTTCATCACTTCTGTCTTCTCTATATTCACCTGAAGTCCCGTCTTGGCTGCCTCTTCTGTCAACTTGTTAGGTTTTGCCTGCAGATCTTCAAGTTTGTGTGACATTAGGCATAAGTCATCGGCGAAATCCAAGTCTTCTAGGTTCTTTTCCGTCGTCCAGTGTATCCCCCTCTTCTCGCTGCCTACTGTTTGCTGCATGATCCAGTCCACCACAATAAGGAATATCATGGGGGATAGTAGGCAACCTTGTTTCACTCCTGTCTTCACTTCAAAGGCATCACTGAGCTTCCCATTGTGGATTACTTGGCATGTGGCATCTTCATATAGTTGTTGAATGAGGCGGATAAAGGTTTGCGGTACTCCGTAGTATTGAAGCAGTTTCCAAATTACTTCTCGGTCGACGCTGTCAAAGGCCTTCTCAAAGTCGATGAAGTTGAGGTAGAGAGCTGATTGCCATTCTACGCTCTGTTCTATGATGATACGAAGTGTTGCAATTTGGTCAGCACATGATTTGTACTTCCTGAAGCCTGCCTGTTCCGGTCGCAGTTTTGAATCCAGTGCGTCTTTAAGCCTCTCCAGGATGATGCGGCTTAATATTTTACTTGGGGTGGACAGGAGAGTGATTCCGCGCCAGTTCTTGCAAGCACTGAGGTCTCCCTTCTTCGGCAGTTTGACAAGGTAACCCTTCTTCCAATCAGTGGCAGGTACCTTCTCTTCCTTCCACACCTTCTGCAATAGTGGTGTGAGCATGTCCGCTGTTGTCTCTGCATCTGTTCTCAGTGCTTCTGGCGGTATTCCATCTGGTCCTGCTGCTTTCCCGCATTTCAGTAGCTTTATGGCGTTCAGGACTTCCATTTTCGTTGGGGGTTTAATGTTCACTTGTAATTCAGCGGCTGCAGGTGGTATTTCTGGACGAGTTGCAGGTGGTGGTGGTGGTCGATTCAAGAGCTTCTTGAAGTGGTCGGCCCATCGTTTCCTCTGTTTCTCTTCTTTTGTAATTAAATTTCCTTCTTCATCTTTTATTGGTTTCATCTGTGTTGGTCTCTTCCCTGATAGCAACCTGGTTATTTGATACAATGTCGCCAGGTCTCTGTCTCTCCTACCAGTAGCCTGTTCTGCTTCACTTGCCAGTGTTTCGTAGAAGTGTCTTTTGTCTTTGCGTGCACTCTTCTTCACTTCTTTGTCCAGTGTTTTATACATTGTGCTCAGTTCCTCTTGTCGTTGAGCATCCTTGCACTGGTTTATCTTCTGCTTCACCATCCTCCTCTCCTCTATCAGCTTCCAGGTATCCGTCGAGATCCATTCCTTGTCTTCTTTCTTCTTCCTTCCTAATACTGATGTGCAGGTTTCTTTCCACATAGCTTCCAAAGAGTTCCAGTGTTCTTCCATACGTATTTCTTCAGGGATGTTCCTCGATATCTCCCATTTTGTCTTGATGGCTGGCTGCCGTGAAGATTTGCTTTGTAGTTTCACCCTTCAGTTTGTGAGTGTTGTACTTGAACTGTGGTCTATCACCAGCTTCCTTGAAGGCTTTTAACTTGATTTTGAAGGTAGGTTCCTTGCACTAGACAGTGAGTGGTGTGAACCTACATCTGCTCCTCTTCTTGATCTGATCTTGTGTTAAGTAGACTGCGTCTCCATTTTCTTGAGATTGAGATAAAGTCGATTTGATTTTTAGTGTGTCCATCTGGTGAAGTCCATGTCGCTTTGTGGATATCCTTGTGCCTGAACACACTGCCTCTAATCACCAAATCGTTGAATGCACAGAATTCTGCAAACAATTCTCCATTCTCATTCATTTCACCTAGCGCCTCTCGACCCATGGTTAGTTCTCTTCCTGTGTTGTCCCCTCCCAGTTTGGCATTCATGTCGCCCATTAGAATTTTGATATCGCCAACTGAGGTCTTGTCCAGTGTTGATTGAAGTTGTCTGTAGAATTCCTCCTTTTTCTCTTGCTCTGCGTTATTTGTAGGTGCATAACATTGTATGATTGTGACCTTTCTTCCTTTTGAGTTGAATCTTGCCGTCATGATCCTGGAGGAGATTGGTTCCCACTGCATGAGAGCCTTCGATGCTCTTGAGGACATCATGATAGCCACTCCCTCAGTGTGCTCGTGGTTGGCGTCTGGGTGACCGGAGTAGATTATTGATTCTCCAGTTGACAGTTTGGAGAGTCCACTCCCATTCCATCTGCTTTCGCAAATCCCAAGCACTTCTATGTTATACCTTCTCATCTCCTTTGCAATCTGGGCTGCCTTACTGGGTTCAAACATCGTACGGACATTCCATGTCCCCACGTTTACTTTCGCTTTCATCGAGAGAAGACACATCGGCCAATTGGTTTCCCGAAGGCTTTCACCAACTGGTGTCATTTCGCCTCTCCGATTCCAGCGGGGAATAAGTTTGTTTTCATTTTTTATATTTTGTTTGTGCTTTGAAGTTTCTTTAGCGGTTAGATTTGTTTTACGGGGTAGGGTTGCTAGCCCTATGCCCAACCTTCCCTCTTTACCCGGGCTTAGGACCGGCTAGTAACTAGTAAACTAGTTAACCAGGCGAGGTTAATTATTATTAAATAAGGAACCATTAATTAGTGTTACGAGATACACAGTCTTTTTACGCTATACGACTCTCTCAGGTGCGTCTGTTCGGGTGAATCTCACACAAGTAAGTCATATGTCAACTAATAATGAGTAAATGGTTTTACTCAATCGTAGCTAGCATTAGGAAGGTCAGATATAAGACAAGTGAACAACAGATTTTGTATGAACTGCTTTCTATTGATATATAGAATCTACAGAGGTGGATTTTTATGCATACATAGTGGTGCATCGGTCTGCGCACTCGACTTCCTACTAGTGAGTCACAAGTTCGAACCCCGTTCCACCTACCAAGGTTTGGGCTGCCAGGTATTATCAGTCCTCATTGCCTGATGTATGCATTTACACATGGGAGTTTACTTCTAAAAAGGAATTAGTCGAATCCCTACTAGGAAGCACAATATTTCTGTCCTGGGCTCAGTACTACGACTATCATATAATGCATGCATGTACTAAGTTGCATGCAACGGGTCTAGCATGATGATATCAAGCCCACTGGGAATGCTACTAAACGGAGAATAAAGTTTGATAAATAACCAGAAAGACTACATGTTAAAAGCGGGCGCGTATTGCAAACATAGAAGAAATATAACTTACTCAAATGATTCGTAACTTTGAGTGTATTTGTAGGCAAGTTCAAAACATTCCGATCGCCTGTAGGAGTTTGATAGAAATTACTTTTCTTACCATCAGTCAAAACGAAGGAGCGGATCGAGTCCGAATACGTTGTGCCGTCAAGCCCTTTTGTTTCCTCTTTGCTATTATCAGCATAAAAATTGAACTTGAACTAAAACATTTTATTAAACATAAAAATAGAAAACTTTAAAACGAAAGTAATCATCATCATCAATATCAACATAGGACCAGGCATTACTGCGTAACGGTCCGAGTTGCCACTTCTCACGTCAGTTCATCAAGTAGAAAGGTAGAGGTGAAAGATGAAAATAAGAAAATTCACTCAGAAGAAATATAAAGTACGACTAGAAAGAAAGGAAGAATAACAAAATGGTGATAATCAGTATAGCGTCGTTAAGATGAGGATAATGTGTGTATACATTTGCGCCACTGACATCGGTTCTCAGCCATATCACCTAGGGTCTCCAACCACTGGTTCCTCTTGTCCCGCGGACCTCAACCACCTAGTCTGCGTCGCCCTACATGGCTCAAACCAACAGTCAGAGACTTCATACATTGGTGCCATGTTTTAGTGTGGCCACCTGGGGCCTTTTACCAGCCTAGACCCACCTCAGCCAACATTGTGTGACAAGGCAATCGGTGACCAGGCATACGTAGTACGTGTCTCAACCAACTCAGTCGATGAAGGTTCATAACCTCGTCAACTGACTTACCTCTTCTCCCTAAAACTCTACACCTGACTTCTGCATTACTCACTTGGTGACACCACGGAATACGGCCTATACTACGAAAGCAACGGTGGTCAAACACCTGAAGCCTTTTTATATCTTCCACTTTCAATGGCCATGTTTCACAGCCATACAGTAGAACAGACCGGACTGCTGTGCAGTAATAAAAAGTAATCACATTTTGTTAACCAAAACACGGATACTGAAGTACGGCATAAGAAATGGAAATATATAGGGAAGAAGATGAAACAAATTAAATATCCATTTTATACTTGTTACCAATGTCCCAAGAGATGAATAATTGCCATATAATGATTACACTCGATACTCAGGACTACCGCATAGAATATGTCTACGCTTAGTCTGTAACTACATTAAGCCTTCGTTATATTTCCCTTGACATTTTTGTTTTGCATCCTTTTCAAGGTGAGAAATAAGAGATTTCTGGAAAATACAGCTCCATCATTTTCATGACCATTCACTACAAGACAACAAAGTTAACTGAGGACTGAGTCCAATCAATTTTGTATTGACCAAGATGATAAGATATAAAGAGACTAGACTACAATCGATTTTATATTAGCCCTTTTATCAATTTTCACCTGTGATGTTTATGTATGACTGATAGGCAATAATATTAATGATCCTTACTGATTTGTCCCTCAACAACGGATATTTCAGTTACATCTACAATAGCTGGTACCTTGACGTAGCGGTCGGGCTTGCATATCACAATGACCCAACGAGCTATGCTGGTGGAACGCTTGTTCCCTCGAGGTCCTACCATACCAGAAAGGTCTGTTGGATAGTGGTTAGACGAAAAGCAGTTACCGTTATAGTGTAAATTGCTACACTATGATGGGGGTCTGAGGGCGAAGTCGTACTGCTGCTAGCTGGATGGGGTGTGACAGCAGTAAGGTGTTTCCCTTGGATGACCAGCAGTGCCACGCTGATGCTGCCTTCTCAGTGGAAGGGGGGGTTAGAAAAGGTCGGCCCCAAAAATAACACACTCCACCACGCCCCACGGTCTGCCGGGCCGGCGGTGTTGGTTCACTTGTCGTTTCCTTTCGACTATCCGGCCCCAAAAATACAAAATTCAAAATAATCATACTCAAAAGGCTGGGTGTGACAGGCCTCAAGCAGATGTCCGATGGGCTCTGCGGTCACACAAATCTCTTTCAGGTACCTTAAGAAGAAATAGCCTTCCACGGTGTGGGCAGCCGGGAAGTGTCAACCGCCCTCACAACTCTGTCAGCACCCAAGTTTCTTCTGACTGCTATCCTCCTCCTCCATCATTACCTTCTAATCTTCCTTCACGTCTCTTAATTAATGATGCTGCATCATCTTCAATTTCTCCTACCTCTGCAGCCTTCGACAACGATCTGAGTCCACAGAACAGCATCCCTGGTCTCCTTAAACCACGCTCCAAATTACATATTGGAGCCTTCAATGTCCGCACCCTCCGTCAAATTGGCCAACAGGCTTCGTTGGCAAAGACTCTAGCAACTCGGGCCATGGATGTGTGCTGTGTTTGTGAGACACGCATACAGGACCTCTCCTGACCAATCTGGTGAATCTGCAAAATTCACCCTTCGAGTTTCTGGAGATTCGATAGCTAGCTCTCGTGGTCTTGCAGGTGTAGGTATAGCATTAAGCACCAGGGCAGAAAACTCACTACTAGACTGGATCCCAGTTGATAGTCGCCTCTGCGCTATGAGGCTGAACGGCACAGTGAGAACTAAAAGGAATAGTGAGACTCGCCGTTGTCTCTTTGTAATCTCTGCTTACGCACCCACTGACTGTAGTTCGGATGAAGTGAAGGACGAGTTCTACCATAAACTGTCTAACCTCCTCTCGAAAGCCAAACGTTCGGACGTGATGGTTGTTGCAGGTGACCTCAACGCACAGGTGGGTAGACTGAGTGAGGCAGAAAGGCACTTAGGTGGCACTTTCGGAATCCCAGCTGAACGTACAGATAACGGTGATCGCCTATTACAACTATGCTCAGATAACCGCCTATTTTTAGCCAGCACAAATTTCAGACATAAAGAAAGAAACTGTCTGACCTGGCGTCCACCGAGCTCAACTCAGCGATGGACACAGATAGACCACATTGCTATTAGTCATCGCTGGAGAGGATCGGTGGAAGACTGCCGCTCCTTCTGGAGTACGTGTTTGGACAGCGATCATGCGTTGGTCCGAGCACGTATATGCCTGCGTCTCAATGGACGTAGAAAAAATTTGGCAACAAAACCACTACGAGTGCTGCTGGACAACGAAAACACCAAAGCCGTGTTCAGTGAGAAGTTGGCTAGGCAGTTATCGGAACAAAAGACTGTCACTCATCCAGAAGAAGCTTGGTGCCATCTTCAGTCTACTGTAAAAGCAGCACTGGAGACTGTAGCCGACTCCAAGATAATGGCTAAAAAGAGCCAGTGGATATCAGCAGCTTCTTCCAAACTAATGGATGCACGTGAATGCATCCCTGCAGGCTCTGAGTACAATGAAGAGCGAGCGCAACTTAAAAATAAACTGACGAAAAGTCTGCGCAACGATCGTGAACAGTGGTGGGCAGCAAAGGCTAAAGAGATGGAAAAGGCAGCGGCGATCGGTAACAGTAGACAGTTATTTAGACTTATTAAGGAGACTGGGGGGAAATGGTCAACAACAGTTAGTGAGGCTATAGCGGAGAAGGACGGATCTGCGATTCACTCGCAGGGGAGACGACTGGGACGATGGGCAGAACACTTCGAGGAACAGTTTAACTGGCCTCCAGCCACCATTGCGCTGCCCGCTATCCAGTCGGACCCTGAATGGGACATAGAGACAGGCCCCCAACACTAGAAGAAGTTGAGAAAGCGGTAGGTAACCTGAAACGAGGAAGGGCAGCAGGACCAGACGGACTACCTGCTGAGGTATACAAGAATGGTGGTAGAGTGCTCTTAGTCAGGTTAACGGAAGTGTTAGCCAGTATATGGGAATCAAATACGATCCCCTCTGACTGGTCTAAGTCACTCATCATCCCAGTCTTCAAGAAAGGCGAGAAGTCCTCTTGTGATAACCACAGAGGAATCAGCCTGACGAACATAGTGTCTAAGATCCTAGGTTCTATAATTCTCCGACGCCTGAGTGGAGCTCGGGAACAGCAAGCCCGAGAAAACCAGGCAGGCTTTAGACCTGGCCGTGGATGTATCGACCAAATATTCACACTGCGCCAGGTCCTGGAACATAGGCATGCTTACAGACGCCCGACAATAGCTGTATTTCTCGACCTGAAGGCGGCATTTGACTCCGTTGATCGAGAAGTCTTATGGCAGTGTCTGTCACTGAAAGGCGTGCCTAGTAAGTACATCACCTTATTGAAAGCTCTCTACTCGAACACTTGTGGGCATGTTAGAGCCTATGGTGAGTTGTCCAGGGAGCTATACTCATCAAGTGGTGTCCGTCAAGGATGCCCACTATCCCCATTCTTATTTAATTTTATCATAGATATTCTTATGGAGGTTTCCCTCTCGTCACCTAATTACACAGACGTTGACCCAATCACAGGTGAATTTTCTTTAGATCTAGAATATGCAGATGACATAGTCCTGTTAGGTGAAGACGCTGACAAGATGCAGAGTCTTCTGAACACTTTGAGTGGGAATTTGAGAATGTTTGGGATGCGATTTTCACCACCCAAATGCAAATTTTTGCTCCAGGACTGGTCTTCAGCGGTACCGCGGTTAACAATAGAGAGTGAAGTGGTTGAGTGTGTTGACCACTTCACTTACCTGGGAAGTAGGATCAACCCGGTGGAGTTAGTTGCCGATGAGATTTCTGCACGGATACAAAAGGCTCGATTGGCTTTTGCCAATTTGCGCCACCTATGGCGCCGCCGTGATATTCGTTTGTCTATTAAGGGTCGCGTGTACTGCACAGCAGTCCGGTCTGTTCTACTGTATGGCTGTGAAACATGGCCATTGAAAGTGGAAGATATAAAAAGGCTTCAGGTGTTTGACCACCGTTGCTTTCGTAGTATAGGCCGTATTCCGTGGTGTCACCAAGTGAGTAATGCAGAAGTCAGGTGTAGAGTTTTAGGGAGAAGAGGTAAGTCAGTTGACGAGGTTATGAACCTTCATCGACTGAGTTGGTTGAGACACGTACTACGTATGCCTGGTCACCGATTGCCTTGTCACACAATGTTGGCTGAGGTGGGTCTAGGCTGGTAAAAGGCCCCAGGTGGCCACACTAAAACATGGCACCAATGTATGAAGTCTCTGACTGTTGGTTTGAGCCATGTAGGGCGACGCAGACTAGGTGGTTGAGGTCCGCGGGACAAGAGGAACCAGTGGTTGGAGACCCTAGGTGATATGGCTGAGAACCGATGTCAGTGGCGCAAATGTATACACACATTATCCTCATCTTAACGACGCTATACTGATTATCACCATTTTGTTATTCTTCCTTTCTTTCTAGTCGTACTTTATATTTCTTCTGAGTGAATTTTCTTATTTTCATCTTTCACCTCTACCTTTCTACTTGATGAACTGACGTGAGAAGTGGCAACTCGGACCGTTACGCAGTAATGCCTGGTCCTATGTTGATAATGATGATGATCTACAATTTAGTAGTCTCTAAGTAATACAGATGGACTAGTAGATGAATAAAACATCACTAGTGTTCAAAAACAGTCTATCTACTGGATTACTTCGAATGTAAATGATATATTATTACTTACAATACCTGTAAGATTGAGTGAACATTTATGTACACAACAAACTATATTCTCTGAAGTTAATTCATGAAATAATATAGTTAACCATAAAAGTACACGATAAATAGTAAACGTCAATTTGATGGTGGAAAAATCAATCTGGTATTAAAGATTAATGAATTAAGTTCCAGTGAAATTACTACATATCCATGCACAAGAGTTCAGTTAGATTAGTCACTCCATAGTCTTGTGTTCCTGAAGTAGACCAGGAAAATTCCTCAAGATAATACTCTAGGGTACCGAAATAAACGAAAGGACTGACATCAGTGACCAAACACAAGGGGAATAATGGGGGCGATGCGGAGAAAACCTATGTTTTCTGCATTTCGATCACTATTCGCTCCCTTTTATGGATATTTTAGGTTACTCGGCCCAGACAACAATTCCGTCGGACCAAACAGGACAACGTGAAGTCCAGTGTAGGACCAGAATCTGCTTATCGGATCAATTGCAGTAATCATTGGGCCCAACGTTGGACCATGAATTTGATATGGGGTCAGATGTAATGCACATAGCGCCAAACGTTGGCCAACTCTTTTAGTTAGCCCAAAAATCAGTACATTGGGTCAAGTGAGGCGTCAGTAGAAACTTTCGCATGGACATTCTTATTACTTGTATTGTGTCAGTAGGCAAAACAGTTATGTACATATCAAAATTTGCCGATGTTAATTTTTGCACTGGAAAAGCCCATATGAATGAACGAATAGTTAAGCGACGAGAATTCTTTACAACGAATTCACTTTAAAAAGCCCCACAGATATGACATCTCCCCTCTTTGTTTATTCATCTTGTGTTTGTATTTGAGATGTAATGATAGTCACTTGTTTCTACAGTACATTTTTGAATTTGATACTGCACAAAAACCACATGAAATAGGCTTATCAAATATGGAATTATATTCTACCACATTGTACAAATTTTGTGCTTATGGTAATGAGTTAGGTTCGAAGAATAGATACATTTTTTGTCAGTGGGATAAAATTTTGTAAAATATACATAAATATATGGCAACATATGCAACGTATTTGTTAAAGCAGTTGTAAACAATAACTTCAGGGGACATGGAAGTAGTGAGTAACTACATTTTAAGATGATCTTATTAGAATACTGTCACTTACTGATATTACATATATTACATATTTTAAAAAGTATAGAGAACTTCCCGATGCATAGATTACTTTGACTTCAACATGGTGTTTCGCTCTACAATAATCCCAATCAATAACTGAGATCTGTTCTAGGCGCTATACATAGTCCTGTTGTTAGCAAGGCCTTCAAGATAGGCACCTATGGAAGATACAGCGAGCCACATAACATCAGTGCATACCCACATGAATTATCTAACTTACTAAGTGGTGGCTTTGCTATGAACCAACGCATCATAAAAATCAGTTACGGCAGTTGTGTGTGGTACCCATGCAGTCTACCGGTAAAACGACATCTAAACACACGCCAAAACGAAGTTGCGTCAAACGCAACAAAAGCAACAACCAGGTGTCATTTATCACCGGTGACTATCCCTTAAGAACTGATCCGTCGTTCAGATTACAGTAAATATTGATCGCCATAGGGATCATTCACCATTTGAAATGTTGCTCACTGAAATGATTAGGTGTTTTCCGGTGGATTAAGTGCATTTAGTGTGCTTAGGTGTTGTAAAAAGGATGATCGATTTGTGGCACCAATTATCCTCAAAGGAAGTTTATGTTCTCTCCTAAATTTAAGACTCCTAATGACAATATATCAGCTGCTAAGTTGTGCAACCCAAACGATTTTCAGAGAAAGTTCCGACCGTTGTCATTCGGCAAGTAACGGAAAGCTAGAGGATACCTACAGTTTCTATTGTACGTTGGATCTTTGATTTTAAAACGTATTCTCTGAATTCAATTTCATGGAATTATCTTCAATTTGCCACCTTTTTCACCTTAACTATTACTTTCTTTCTGCTGGCGTAATTCAGTTGCAGTTGAAGCACTGTCAATAATTTTGCCTGTATATATATAAATGTGAATCCAGTTTATAATCTTCACAGCTTAACCCGTTGTCGAAGATGTCAAAGTGCCACGGTACCCCATACTCATCTCCTACTTCCAAATTTGAATCATTTCTAAAGAAATTAAAACGCCCCATCCACGGGATTCGACCAGCAGCTATAACAGTAGTTGCTAGGTTTTGGGAATTACATAGTCTTGAACCGAAAACCGTACCTAAGACGAAGGAGACAGTTTGTAACTTCGAGTGGAAAAATTTGTACCATTCCTAGAACAGTCATCTCTCATGAACCCAACAATGTCATCCTGATGAAAGGCCAACTTGTGCAGTCAATGAACTATTTGAAGACTTTCATTTCATATTCAGACCAAACAAGGACCCAAGGCCGCTTTACATCAATCCGTTTGACTAATCTACAATCGCTGTTCGAGGCCTCTCAGATATGATTTGATGAACATTTGGCATCAATGGAAGGACACAGACTGAAAGTGCCTGTGTATAGCCAGGAAAAACTTTTCTGCATCATACCTGTGCCATACATACAAACTGGGACGTAGAGAATAAACTGAAGTATGCAATGGTGATAAAATGACATTGTTCTGTAGACTGTCAATATATATTTCACAAGACTTCACTCTTTTCTTTACCACAGGACATTTAATGAATCATTTATCTTGTGCTGTTCACCTCTGATTATTATTTTCAGATGGAATTCGATTGTTGTAGTCAGTTACTAGTTGAGAAAGTGGATTACACATATTTCAAGAGAACTGTAACATGTGAGGACATAAGATGTCACTTTAAGGCGATAGAGGGATGGGAATTGACGAATATTAAGGTACATAGTGTATTGGGTACGCAATGAAATAAACAGCTATTACGTCAGATACATACGATAATGAAGTGGTGCATGACGTTGATACAACTTTGTCACTGACGAAGGAAGACGGCATCGCAATCATAAGTAATGAATTTATTAGCCTAAAAACATGCTTCAGCTTGTTTACAGAATTTGACATCGACTGTTGAAAGGCTCCGAGATGAAGTATGTGCAAGTTCTCAAAGCCTTATGAAGATTTACGAATTACAAATAGCAAGGCCTACCTATAACTTATAGAGAATTCAACGATCTGGAAATGAAGATGGTAGAAAATGAGTACGGAAAGGACTACGTAAATCTTGAAACAAAACTTAATTATTACTATTTATTGATACACTTGTAATTCTCCGTTGTTTTATTGGATCAAATTGTTCGACCTCTATTGGTATATGGGCTCCTATACGGACGTCTCGATATGCCTGAATGTGTCACGGTAATTTAGTTGGCTGTGGCTAGCAGAGGAATTCAGGACGCGAGTTTCGTCCTATTGGGACTCGTCAGCTGGATGTACCTGCACCCCAGCCAATGATGCTGTTCCTACTGAGACTCGGACCTCGTGCCCATCGCTTCAAACGCCAAGGCGTTATTCACAATGCATGGAGGGACGATAAACACTTCTTGTACAACAGCTATTAGTTATTACTATTTATTGATACACTTGTAGTTCTCCGTTGTTTTACTGGATAGAATTAATCACCATAATTGACACTCAGGCAATATCGAGTTATCTGCATAGGAGCTCATATGCCAATAGACGTCGAACAATTCGATCCAATAAAACAACGGAGAATTACAAGTACATCAATAAATAATAGCAACTACTAGCCGTTGTACGACAGGTGGCTATCGTTCCTCCGTGGCATTGTGGATAACGCCCCGGTGCTTGAAGCGATGGGCATGAGGTCCTGAGTCTCAGTGGTGACAATATCACTGACTGGGGTGCAGGTACATCCAGCTGACGAGTCCCAAATAGAACGAAACACACGTCCTGAATTCCTCTGCTAGCCACAACCAACTAAATAACCTAGTCACTTTACAGTTCGCCGCCATTTGGAAGCTGATTTCTGAGGACATGAAAACTAGCATGAAGCGTATACTGCAGAATTCATTCGAAGAGTACCTCATGAAAAGCTTGTCATGTAGTCCAAACGGAAACCAAGACAGGCACAAGAAACATATACACGGAGTACAGCATGAGTTAGTAACAAACAAACAGTTAATATTTATCCAGTTGCAGAAACCTTTAGGCAATTCTGCCAAACTCAAGATGTTATTGGAGACGATTTCAAAAAGTCCTACCAAATGAATGTCGGATCTCAGTTTTATAATCTTGACCATAAGGTTGGGTGGATAATAAGACGAATTGAACACAAAGTTGTATATTCCTTGGTAAATGGTTTCTGAGAAGGAACCGGAAACGTTTGGACTGATGCAGA